TGCGGCATATGTGCGGAAGACATCGTGGCTTCATTTCTTGTAGGGACCAATTTCCCGAAATATTCCAGATATTTCGGGAAAGCGGTCCGGGAATCGCAGCCACCCACCATTTTCTCGAAATATTCCGAATATTTCGGGGACCATTTTCCCGAAATATTCCAAATATTTCGGGAAATGCTATCGTCGAAATATCCGGAATATTTCGGAAAAATGGTCTGGAGTGCGACTATCGAAATATCCGGGATATTTCGGAAGAACGGTCCGGGCTTTGAACGAAGCCGTTGTGTCTTCCAGATAAATTGTCGGTTCTCGTATTGGGCGCATCTTATTGGAATCGGTCCCCTATGGTCTGTTTCCTTGTGGTTTCCTCATGACCATTTTAGCGGTAAATAAGAAGTTGGGTTCTTTTTGGGCCAATCCACTCGATCATCTTCACACACCAGTTGGATTGACTTTTGGACTTCCCCTACTGTGGATGGACGAAATCCTGCGCCACCTAAGATTCTCTGGAATGATGATTCTTCTGCAAATACCAACAAACAAATTGGTTCCCATGTTTCAAAGTAGTGCAGGATTTTGTCCATCCACAGAATGATTGGTTTCCCTATTTCCCTTTGATCGCCCGTCAGGCTCGCCATCGGAAGCTTTTCGACTAGGTCCCCCAGAGGGGGGTCCTCCAACAAATTTGGCGCCGGATTCGCTTTCGGGGCATATATCTGCCTGTCCGTATTAAACTTCCGAGAGTTTGGCGATGCGAGAAGCTGTGAGCCGCAGCCGATTGTAGCGACCACTGGTGTTTTTCCCAATGCTTTGGGCGAAATCAGTTCGGCTTTGCTTGCACCCAGGATGATTTCTGGTCGATCGCGTTTTCGCTTGCGCTTGCAACAACTGCGTGTGTGGATGGATCTTTTGAGGCCAACAGCCCGCGGATCCGTTCTCACCTTGCTCAGGCGACCAGCGCGACCTGTGTTTGGAGAACGTTTTTCGCATACGACGTGTATACATTTTTTGATACATATGAGATGATAAAATATGTTGGTGCCTGAGTTGCAAAAAGTCTCTTTTTGTCTCTGTCTCTCTGTCGGTGTCTGTCTCTGTCTCTCTTTGTTTGTTGGTCTCTCTGTCTCTGGTATCTGTTTCTTTGTCTGTTTGTCTGTCTATCTATCTGTCTGTGTCTGTCTGTCTGTGTCTGTCTGTGTCTGTCTGTGTCTGTGTCTGTCTGTGTCTGTGTCTGTGTCTCTGTCTGTGTCTGTGTCTGTCTGTTTGTGTCTGTCTGTCTGTGTTTGTCTGCGTGTGTCTGTGTGTTTGTGTCTGTGTGGTTGTGTGTTTTTGTGTTTGTGTTTGTCTTTGTCTCTGTTTTTGTCTTTGTTTGTTGTTTGTGTCTTTATCTTTGTCTTTGTCTTTGTGTTTTTGTTTATTTGTTTGTTTGATTGAAATTGATATTGTGTAGGTTAATTTCTATGAGTTAATGAAATTTAGTTGATATTGTGTAGATTAATTATTATGAATTTATAAAAATTGGGATTAGTTTTTTATGTTGTTGAATGAATTGGGATAATTTTTATGGAAATTGAGGATATTGTATTTAGGATATTTAAGCGTAATGTTTAAAATATCATGTTTTAGATTATATAGGTTGGATTGTTTTAAATTTGAATAATTTAATGATAGAGATTATAGAAACATACATATTATTGGGATATGAAAACCGAAAATCTTTTGGTTGGTTTTTTGGTTTGGATTAAAAATATTTTAAATGGGTTTGTTTTGATTAAAAGATTTATGGAGGAATAAGAAATAAATTTTCAAAGGAACGGAATATTTTGTTTTAAAATTGAAATAGAATTATTGATGGAATCGTTGGTGGAATCCCTGGTGGAATCTTAGCTCAGAGTCGCCCTAAACCACTCCGGAGCCTAGTTAAACTAAGATTTAAAAGCTTTTAATTATTAGGGAAGGGGTTTTATTAGGTTTTGCAAGGGCGGGGTGGTTTGGGATGGTTTGAGATAAGGTTTTACGAGGGTTCTATTAGGGTTCTATTAATTTTTTGGAGGGTTGTAGGTTTGAGGAGGTTTCACGAGGGAATCCGGTGGTTTGAGGTAAGGTTTTGGCGTGGTTTGGTTTGAGGAAGGTTTTACGAGGGTTCTATTAGATTTCCATTTGGAAGGTTCTATGAGGATTCTACTAGGTTTTTACTAGGTTTCCACGAGGTTTCCACTAGGTGTCACTAGGTTTCCACATTGTTCCACCAGGTTTCCACCAATTTATCGTATTCCGGACGAGGGTTCCACCATAGTTCCACCAATTTGTTCGAGGGTGCGTGCGGCGTGGTCTGGGGAAGGTTCTACGGTTTTATCAGAGTTTCATTAAGGTCCATCAGTGGTCCGTGCTGGTTTGAAGGAATGTTCCATGAGAATTCCACCAGAATTCCATCAGGTTTTGCAAGGTAAGGTTCCATTCCAGTGCGGTCGGTAAGGTTGTATGAGGGTTTTAGGGTTCCACAAGATTCTGCGAGGGCTATGGGCCCTAAGGTTTCACAGGGTTCCAGAAAGCTTTGCAAGAATTCTACACGGGTTCGATAAGGCTCCACAATACTCCACCAAGGGTGTGTCGTGCGCCCATCGTCTGAAAAGCTATCGGATCAAGATCGCTTTACTCATGGGCGGAACACTAAACAAAACCGAAATTAATGGTTGTTAGCACGCTTTCACTGTTCTGTGACTTGCTCACTTGCTTAGGCAAATGTTGGCTTTGTGGCAAATCAAATCACGTTGCTACGGAACTCATGGTGCAGCAGAGTAAATGCTTGGCATTGCTGCTTGGTGGGCTTTGGGTTCCAAGAATTCCACGAGGCTGCGAGGGCTATGAGGTCAGAAAATTTCCACCAGCTACGAGTGACAGCGCATGCTCACCCTGATCGAGGCCCGACAGCGCAATCGGGGCCCGATCGGGGCCCGACGGTGCAATCGGGGCCCAATCGGGGCCCGACGGTGCAATCGGGCCCCGATCGTCCCGTAGCGCAACCCCAGCCACCCATATTATAGCTCCACGCCGGTTTTCCTTAGTATGCGGCTTGTAATTGTGTCTATAATAACACTATAGACGACGCCAGCTTGGTACAATTGACGGGGCCCGACGGGGCGCGATGGCGCAATCGGGGCCGATCGGGCCCAAGCGGTGCAATCGGGCGGGTCCCGATAGTGCAATCGGGCCCCGACCTAGCCCGGTGAATCTCGCAAACCATTCTCACGCAATTTTCGTCCCTGGTGGAACCCTCGTGGAACCTTACCTCAAACCATCCAGACCACCCCGCAGCCTGGAACCCTGCTGGAACCCTGGCGGCACCCTCGTGAAACCTTTCTCAAATCCGCAGGCTCGAAGAAATTAGTGGAACCCTCGTGGAACCTTACCTCAAACCACCCCAGACCACTCCGCCCTTGTAGAACCTAGTGGAACCTTGGTGGAATTCTGGTGGAACCCTGGTGCAACTCCTAGAATCCTAGTAGAACCTTAGCTCAGGATATAAATACCAATAATTCCATATATTGATGGATTTTTTGATTTTATGGCTCATTGAATTAGAATATAATATATATATATATATTTGTGTTTAAGGCTTTTATATTTTGAATAGCCCGATTTTTTTTGAATAGGATCATTTCTTTGGCTAGCAAAATTTAGATATTTGAAATTTATATATTTTATTATATAAAATACACATATATATAGGCCATATATATTATTTTAAAGAATTCTATATTAATATATGATTTTCGCTAGAATCTATAAATCTTTTTCCCACTAACCCCCCGAATAAGACCTGCGGATATTTTGCTGCTAGGAGCCTCACAAATCCTTCATTTTTCTCGTTTTCCGTGGTTGGCTTTAGATATAACGGTCATATCTCCTTTCCAATTTCGTATCTTAGGAACGGCAGCGCAAGAATCCTTTAAAAATATGTCAATATGCCGAATATAAACACACTCAAATAGTTTCGATATATAATTCAAAATATTAATTACGAATAAATCAAATATAGAAAATATTTTTTAACCATCTATATAAATAATTTTAAAATAATTTAAAAAAAATCTCGATAATTAGTTTAATCAATTCTAATATATAATAATATCCTTTATAATTAATTTATTGGTTTATTCAATAAATATAAACTAATTAATATATAAATTTATTTAAATATATTACCTCCTTAAACATAATATAAGTATATTATTCCAATATATATTCATCAATAAATTATATATTAAGCAAAACCAAATAAAATTTAAATCCAAAATCTTTCAATTAAAAACCAAATTAAAATTAAATAACCCATTTCATATTTTACAAAAATTAAGCTTCCAACATAAAAAATAACCCAATACTAACACCAAAAATCTTTCATCTCAAACCAAATTAATATTAAATTATTTAACACTACATCTTATACAATATCAAATGGTTCATTCTAATAAAAATAAATAACCAAAACCAAATAATCAATATTATTATATTCCATTTTAATATCAATTAATATCTATATATAATTTAATTAAATATATTAATAATAATTTATCAATATTGTCCTTTATATAATCTATATATATTTTATATATATATATATATCAATATATTAAAATCAATTTAAATATCCAAAAATAGCCTAACCAAAATTAAAACCAAACTAATATTAAATCATCTAATTATAAATCTAAAATAATTAAATATGAAATATAATTTTCTATTAAAAAACAACCAAATTATACAATTTAATTTAACATAAAACAATCAATATTTATATTTAAATCTAAATCAACAATATGGTTAGAATATATCCTTCCTAAATTCTATAAAAAACAATTTAGAATTAAATTAATATAATAAAACAATAAATATAATCAAAATATATAATATAATATATACACATATATTAAATTAATATATATTTTTAAAATATATTAATAACAATATCCATATACTATTGTAATTTCTCAACTTTCCCAGCCATTCTCTTCCTCAATGTCCCCGGATTGACAGTCCAGACCCACAAACACCGTATCCTGGCATTCAGACCTGAGGCAATTTCATTGCTTTTCCAGCGAATGCCAGCCTTCCACTCGCTATGCGGAACAGTATGCCCTCGAAAATACTGCTGGAGCAACAACGTCCTGGCGGTCTCGACATACATTTTGACTTGCATCACTCCGTGCGTTGCTTCTTCGCAACAAATTGCTTTGAGACCTCGCCTGCTGCTTCTGGTGCGATAACATTTGGGAATAGTATATCCAAGCACTTGTCCCGCATGGTGGTTGACGATGACCGCCATGCATTTTCGGCCGCTGCATTGTCGGCTCTGGAAGCATCGTATTGATAATGAATGCGAGACGTACTCAAACGCCAACAAAGCTGCCAACAAGCTGATATCATCATCTTTACCAGCAAAAACTCCTTAGGCTCGTCGCTGTCAGAAGGCGGCTCGCGCAAAACATTGGCACAGTTTGTCATATTGACACAATTCAACAACAAACGCGCTTCTTCCTTTGCAGGCACTTTGGTGCGCATCTGCACATGCCGTAGCCACGTAATGATATGGACCAACTCCTTGCCCTGAATGCCGGAATGCTGTACTTTCTCGATCACAACTGCCAACATGGACCGGACAACACCCTCTGAGTTGACAAAAGCTGTGGTGCACATGCGGTCGATGAAGGATTGCACATCTATTAGTTTCACCTCGGAAGAAGCAACTTTCCCCTTCACAACATCCAACATGGACACGATGGCAGCCTCCGAATTGATCAAGGCTGTAGCGCAGGCTCGATCGATGAAGGATTGCACATCTGCCAGATTCATGTCTCTCAAGCGATCGGTGATTGACTCCGCAACGGCGCCTGCAGCTGGAACAACTTCGTACTTGTCACAAAGCAGCCATACGTCTAGCATATCGTCAACGGTCCAACTGTTGCAGAACTGCATCCTGTCGACATACAAAAATCTGCGAAACATCTCCAGATGCCTAACCTGAGCGACTGGTATCTCTGCGCGCCGAGATTCCGACTCCACGAAGGAACCTGCAAGCATGCGGTGGAGCACCTTGGAACGGGCTAAAATCATCATATGCGACGGAAACTCGTGCAGCTTCCCATCTTCAGTACGAGCTACCAGCGTCACGTCGGCTAGATCCCCTGAATCACAGAGGCTGCTCACATGGCTTGAGATGTCACCAGACATCGCTTTAAAACAACACCTGTCCAAGTAGAGGCTGCAGTCTGGGGTAGATCAGAGGCTTGAACAAGCAGCGACGACCTTGCAAAGCATCTACTAGCGTACAAAGTGGATTCAATCACACAGGACTATCACTGTAACTATAGTTTGGTGCTAGCAAAGGGGCGTGGTGCTGCTTTGGGAAGGGTTTTCCAAGTCATCGGGCAGCATGAGGTTTGGGGCCAGGGGCCATTGTCACGTGTTGATTGTGCTGCTCTCCGGCACACGCAGCTGCGGGTTTTAGCTTGAACGTTGCGATTGAAACTTCCGCTCCCCGGCTTTGCCGGCTATACTGGCATGGCTACACATCGTATTTTTCTTTATCAGACATATTTTCAATATACCAGCCGCCCCCTTAAGTCTAGCCTCTCTTTTCCAAAGCCATGCCGTCCATCCTCTGGCAAGAGCCCGAGGCGGGCTCTTAGTGGTCGGATAAGGGTAAAATCTGCCCGGTAGTTTTTTGACACGAACAACTCTAACCTGTACACTCTAACCTCTACTATTTCCAACTTCTCTAACCTCGTAGGCTAAATTGGTCGACACCCCCAGCATCACCAGCGCCGTAACCTAGAAAAAATGACTTCTGCTGACTACATGTAGATTTTGGACACGTTTCTGGAGTACATAGGTTCAAGTTAGCCCCCGCAATACCAGCGTTTTAGTCAACAATCATGCATTCCGTTTTGACTAAACGTAGCTGTTGGACACGTTTGACCAAATTGGTCGACATCCCCAGCATCACAGTGGACTAGACTACGCCCAAATCCACAGGCCCTGTGGGGTCGGCGGCATGCAGGCGTCAGCGTCTGCCATACTCAATTCACAATGGAATTGATATAAAGTATAAATTCTGATAGTGCAGCAAAATGATCAGAGCCAACCAACACAACTTCAAAACATAACATACACGTCCCGCGCACGTCTTTTACAATTCCACCACATGAGGAGATTTCCCCACTATCCGCGCCAGCTCTGCAGTTGTCTGCGCCTGAAGCCATGAAACCGAAGCTTTGGGCCGCTCACCCCATGCTATCCTCCAGAAAGATGTTCCGGGAAGGCCTGTCTCTCCTTGCATGCTGAGCCCCCTGAAAACCCCTGCCAAGTTGCATCCTTGGTGTTCGCCTTCACCGAGTGTGCCTGACATGTGCAACCCCCTAAGCACCGACCATACAGCGAGCCTTTCATGAGTTCGTTAAGACGTGGAACCGCCAAAGCGGCTACCCTAAAACCTATAAGTCCAAGGGCGTACACAAAACACGACACACACCGAAGGCAAGGCGTCTGTCATGCGGGTCACGGATTAATCAAAATGCTTCATTCAACAAAGTGTCCCACAATGATTCAGCACACAATGCCCGAAAGTTGTTCACAGGAAATAATAAAATAGGGTCTACCCAAAAATCGTCACTCGAACAGCACCATTGCACCTTGTTTAATTCGGCTTCAAAACTCCAAAGGCCAACAAGTCCGCGCCCCCAAGCTGCAAATTATTGAAACGTTCTTAAAGAGAGCCCGGCCAACAGATTTCCAGGGGGCCCTGCTACGCACTCAGTTGAGGCAATGAATTTCCCGGCAGACAATCTCAAGTACTACCAACACGATACCAGCATTGAGAGCACTAAACAAAATGCAGCCCATACTAAGGGAGGGCTGAAGAGGGTCGAGGAAAACCGAAAAAAGGCACATACAAAGCATATACAAAACAATGCAAACCAATACAAAAGCAATACTAAAGTTATGCTAAAGCAATAATCAGGCAGCACTAAGTAATGCCAAGCCAATACTATTTCGGAGGGACCGCTCTCTCCCAGCTGGGGCGCGCAAAAAGCCCGCGCATCGACAGCCATGCTTAGGAGCAGCGGTGCTCCGCCACTTGGGCTATCCACGCTCCCCTCTCCGACCCCCATATGTTCCTGGGGGGGGGGGGGGGGGGGGGGGGGAGGGACTTTAAACAATGAGCGACTCCGACTGTGCTGCATTGCGACATTCAGAGTGGTAATGGGGCTTCTGAACGAGAGCAACGCTGCGCATTGCCTCGTGCCGCCGGCAGGCCAGCAGGGCCAAACCCACCAGAAAGGACAGTAGGAACCTAAGCTGCAACCGAAGGGCAGGGAATTGGAAAATGTAGAGCGAAGCGACTTGGAATCGATTTTGGGTCATCTTGAGTACACCTGTCTGTCACCTGGCTGCCAACGTGGGGCCCAATGACTCACAAACCCATGAATCAGTAACACAATGGCAAGCAAGCACTGGTTTCACACGATTCAGTATGTGCATATTTTTAAAGCACAATGTGCTTCGTAGGCAACGAGCAGCATTACCTGTTTGAAGACTTGCGGACTTCGCCCAGAAAGCGCTGGCCTTGCCAAAGCCCCGTATCGCATGACCGAAACTTCCAGCCGTTGACAATTCCCCGACTCTGTCAGGAATAGCTTGCAACGGGGTTCAACACATATTCCATGATGTGATTCTTGCAATCAAAGTATTTCACGAACTGACTTGTGGAAAACAACAAACAAACAAAAAGCCAGCCCGCCAGCCAGCCAGCCAGCCAGCCAACCTGCCCGAACAGTCAACCAATCAGCCAACCACCCAATTAGCCAACCCGCCCGATCAACCAGCACAACCAAAGAAGCAAGCAAGCAACCAACACAAACCGACAAACAGACTGGCGGACGGGCGGACAAACGGACAAAACAAAAGCATGCAAACAACACTAACAACAAACAAGCGACGCCAACCAGAACGGCAAAAACCACACCAAACCTAAACTACCCTAACCAAAGCACACAACAATAGCAAAGCAAATAAGACAAACCAACCAATCAGAGACACCAACCAGCCAACAATCGAAGACACAAATAACCCAATCGAGCCATACCAGACCAAACCAGCCAAACTGACCAGCCAATCAATAAACAAGCAAGCGCAAACATACGCTCAAAAAAAAACAACAACCAAACGAATGAACAAACAAACAACAAGCAAACGGGCAAGCAAACGAGCAAGCAAACACGCCACGCCACTCAAACAACTTATCAACCAGCTCTGAATTTGAAGCTGTTTGAAGTTAGTTCCGGAATGCCTGTCGGAGAAAAAAACACCAAAAAACACATGCCTTGCAGGACGGGCCGCGACACGGCTGCGACCGCTACAAGGTCCATGGTCGGAGCGTCCTCGTGTGAATGCTTGCTGTGGGAGGTGTGTGGGTGCGCCTACGGAGTTTGCGATGAAGCATGGCCCCGTAAGCAGCCAAATGCCAACCTGCCCGGTTTCGATTCAGTCTGTCAAGCATGCATCTTTGAATCAAGGCTTGATTTGGGCCCTTTCAGCCACAGCACCCTTGTGCCCTTGCCAGCTCTTTTGCTTCTGCTTTTCAATGTGGCAACTGCAGTGAAACGCGGCCTGCCAAGCTCTAGACAAAACAAAAGCGCGAAGGCAACACTCTTTGACTGGCAGCATGCTCCAAGGAAACAAATGACACCCTGGCCCCATTTCAGTGTAGACAACTCGTAAACTGGAGAGCATGTGACCAACACAATCAGCTTCAAGCAATGGCCTAGACGGCCGACAATGTCTAAACATGCTCGCTTTAGAGGCCAAGCAATATGTGTCATCGCATCGCAACCCTGAGAAGCAGCTGGTCAAATGACAACAAAGCTTCTTCAGTTGGTTTTCCCACTGTCTGTCACTGCTTGCATTCTGTCGGACTTTGTAGGTGCGCCTTCAGATCTGACAAGTGGAGGGCCACAGCTGTGGATGTCGCGGAGCTCGCCTGCCAGTCGGTAGAGGAGACAGGTCAAATGGGAAGTGAAGCAAAGGACAAAGCAAGTACCTTCAAACGAGGTACTATATCGCTTCGAACTCGAACACCATCTCTCTCTCTCTCTCCCTCTCACAATCCTGCGAAGGGCTGGCATTTTGCCTAGTCAGCCTAAATCCTGCCAGTTGGAAACCTGCAGGCACGCACAGCCCTCGCGCCTCGCTCGCGGGCGCCGCTGTTGTGGGGATGGGAATCTGCACCTTTGCCGGCTGCACTGCCGGCATTGGAACCTCCGTGCGAGCAATGACAGACTTCATTGTCAACTAGGCTCTTACTCAGTGTCCTTCCACAACCCAAGTATCAACGCATGCAAAGGATTGTGTTGGCCAGTTTCCAGGCCTTTTCCTCATTGTCCAGCGCGTCGTGGCTAGAGGCCGCAGGTTCCTTCGACTACAGAGATTGGAGTTGGCCCTCCAACGCAGCCTCCAAGGGTCATTCATCCGAACCAATGTGAGCAAGCTTGCGGGTGCAAGCCAAAGAAACCTCCCTCTTTCTCCCTGCACAAACCGTGCTAAGAGTGCTGAGTGCGTGCACACTGCAGATGCTTACCGCATGTGTGTTTTCGTGTTGTGTATTTAAGCCGAGTTTAAGCCGAGTCGCCTGCGACGCCATGGCAGCCTGGGCATTGATGGCTTCGCGATGCACAGCCTCATCAGAACTGCACGAACATCAGTCAGAGCGGTCACATGTCGGAAATGTAGCGTGCCCTCAGGGTTCTCTGAGCTATTGAACATACGCGCTGAGGCAAGCAACGACAAAGACTGCATTAGCAACCTTGGCCTCCTTGGACGCTGGTAGAACAACCTAGGTTCTGAAGTAAATTCCGAGAAACAGGACTTCCTGCAAGGCTACAAGTCAATGTCTGCGATGATTTGATCGTCGCAGCTCCAAAAGTTTGTTCTGCCAGGCTGCAAACAGCTTGGTGCGCCTGGACTCGATTCTCATGGGTCCATCGCTTGCCTCCGGCTCGGCCAGGCATTTCGATCAAAAGGGAGGAGCAACATGTCGAGCAAGCCACGCGTTATGTTCCCGGTCTCAGGTTTACAGTCCCCGCACCCGTGGCACTCTCAGGTCCCTGACACACGCAGCCTGCCCCCGGCAACCTGGGCACCCTGGGCAACACCAGGCACCCCGAGCTCAACCAACTGTAAACCGAGTCCCCACCTTCTAGCTAACTCAAAATGCAGCCTAAACCCACTCTAAACCAAACCAACCCTTGACTAACCCGCGCGACTAACTCAACCCACCTACCATGCGGGGAGCCCAGAACTCGAACATATATTGCGCGGCTTTCCCTTTGACTCTTCAAGTTGGTGGTTTGATCTCCCACCACTCCCCTCTTCAGAATGCACAACCCGTGCGACAATTGCAGTGCTGCAGTCCCATGTCCCGCCTCATTTTGGCTCAGCAAATGCGATGAACATGGGGTCCGTTCCAGAACGACTCTTTGCCCGTCACCCCCAGCCCGTGCCGTTTGATGCAACAGCAGCCAAGCAATAACACAACAAAATTCAGAGAAAACAACAAACAAGCTTCATAAATAATTACTGCACTGCGCAAGAACACACCAGCAACTGCACGATCCTGCGCGCAGCAAGGGCCTGTGATGGAAACTGTTCGCCTTGGCAGATCATTAGCTTGTCGTGTAGGGCATGCTGCTCTCGATCTGGATGCCAAAGGGCTTAACAGCCCTGCATGGTCCCCACACGTGTACGTGCAAGTTCCACGAGTGAGCCCCCACTCCTGGCAAGGTCTTGATTCCCGTAGTTGGAAGCACATGATGATGATGCTGATGATGACGCTGATGATGTCGTCGCCGAGACACATTTTGACACACACACACACAGCCACGCGCGCGCGCACATACATCACACACGCATCCCCCTGAGCAGCCAGGAGGAAGAACAGGACACGTTGGTGTGTTTGTTATTGTTTTGCGGGGTACCACACTGCACAGGGCTCTGCACAGGTGTGCTAAAAAAGGGCTCTGGACAACTTGGGGGAAAGTGAGAAACCATCAAATGGAAAACTGTCCCAAGCTGCTGGCACTCCCAGCCCGCCACTCCGCCTGCGCGGTATAGCGCTCCTCCAGCCGCATCCGAGCGGCGTGGGACCGCGGGGGGCCGTGAGGGTCCGGGGCGCTTTGCTGGGCCCAGCGTGCATCGAACTCCGCCGCCACGAGGAGGCAGAGCTGAGCGAGCGGATCGGTACCGCCTACAAGTTTCTTGCCTACAGGCTGACTTTAAAGTTTGAAAAGCGGGGTGCCTTTGGACAACTGCGAAACCTCCCCCATACCCATATACAATGGATTTGGCTCTCTCTTTCTGTGTCCTACTCTCAGGATGGCTGGCATGAATAAGCCACGCGGATCTTTGCCACACAATGCTGCTTGTCCAAGCTCAGCACAGGCAGCGCAAAGCAAGGCTTGCACATGGCCATTTGTTGGGTCACCTGGCCTGCCCGGCAGGAAGCGAACCCTGCAGCGCCACCATGTGCTGCTTCTCTTGCCAGAGCGTGAGGCCCTGAACCAAGGACTGTGCAGCTCAATGGGGTCCATGCGGCCTTTTTGTGGGTTTCCACCGCTGGAACGGAATAGTCTTAGTGCAACATCCTGCTGACCAAAAGCCCACTCAAGAACCTTGACTGAATTGTGTGCGTGTGAGTGCGTGTGTGCGAAGGGTCAACATCCCCCCGTCGGACTTCAACCTATATATTGCAGCCTTTCTGGACACGTGAGCATTGACACTTTCTGCTGAGCAGGACCCAAACCGAGCACGTGCTTGGTTCTACTGGGGTTGTCCGTCGCGACATGCCCTCACGAGCCTTTCAGATGATTTACCAGCCTAAAACCAGGGACCCTCCCACTTTTTCATGCTCCAGGCCACACCCAAGTTTGTGAGGTCGCCATGTATTGCCCAGATGTTCTGCTCGGAAAATGGACAAGTAGACCCGTCCAGGGCGACAAAAAACAAATCCACGTGAACATGCCCGGTGGAATGGACACCCACGATGACAGCACTCTCGCAGGATTCCCGCTCCCAAAACAAGGAACACCGTATGCGGAAATTCTCGGGCACCTCCCGTCTAGCCTCTTTCGCCTCTTTGTTCTGAAGGCTTCACAAGCAATGCCCAGCAAGGGCCCTCTGGGCCCCTGGCCTGGCACGTGGACTTCATGTCCGCCAGCTTGGTGGACCTGTGGGATTAATGCAGTTGCCCTAATGGGCCCGACACATTCAGGTGCACAGAGCAGGGCAAAGTTGACGAATCTTCAGAGCAAATCTGGAACACGAGAGTCAAGAATGCAAGCATGACAGCAAGCACATTCGCAAACAGCTTCCCAATAGCGTTCTCGTAGTAACCCTTAATCGCAACATCAATATCTCCTGCGTGGTTCATAGGGCTCCAAAAGGACCTTCTTCCTCTCATTGGGGCAGCTGCCAAGCTCACCCACCTCACCAGGACCTGCTCCTGGAGCGCATCCTCCACTTGACACCCTGGAAGCAGCAGACTTGACGGCACTGCCAGCAGCCTCCCGTGCCATTCTCTGATTCTCGGAGGCTGCCCAGCGACATGCGCTCGAGTTGCTTTGGGTGGGCGCTCGTGCAATTTTCATGCAATATTTGTACACAAGGTTGGCATGCAACAAACTGGCGTACTGGCAGGCAATACGCACTGCAAGTCAAACGGCACCATCGAGCGAAGCAAACAGAATTATCTCATGTGTCAAAGCACAAGGGTAATCAAGCATGAAGGTCCTCATCTATTATGGTGTACATACGGGATGATGCGGATCTTCCACTTTTTGGGGCACGCTCTGTTGGTGTTGGGATGGGTAATTCTGACGGAATTCTACTGGCGCGCTCTCCCCGTAGTCTTCCCATAGTTTTCCCGTAGTCCCCCACAAGATGCCTCTTTTGCCATCTGCAGTCTTCCAGCAGTCTTCCCGTAGTCTTCCCGCGGAATTCTGACGAAGAACCTTCCAAAACAGGAAACATCCTGCTTTTCAACATCTTGACTCTTGACTCTAGCCAAAATGGGAAAACAAAAACGTTCAAATGTCAATCCGCTTTGGGCAAATATTGTCCTCTACCGACAGCCGAAGTCGATCTCTGCCTGACCGACATCTCATGGCAGCCAAAGCCGTAGACCTCCACAGAGATGGAGGAGCCCGCGCCTGCCATTGGCTTGGGTGGCCTTCTGCGTTAGAAGCGCGCGGCGATGGGGTGGACAAGCCAAGTGCCAAACCAAAACCTCACTTGCGATTGACTGGCGCGACAGCAGCCTGTTTGGCACTCCAAACCTAAGTGATCTATGATTAGATGGGACAATCGAAGCTCAACTGAAAGCATTCGTTGTCACTTCTGGGTTGCACCATTCCCTAGGCACATGTATGTGCAGACAACTGACTGGCGGCCCGCTCTTCTATGCTGAATCAAGTTGCCCCTCTTCCGCGTGTAAAGTACCATCATCGGCACGTCTTCCGCTCTGAAACGCAGGCACCCTTTCACGAGCAGCGTCTCAACCTTAACCCTTGAAGAGAGCTGAAGTGAGCTTGCTGCATTCTATTCGGGCCGAAAAGCCTCTCACAGGCCACGCCCATGGCGACAAAAAGCTCTATCCCAAAGCAAGAGTAACTAGTATTTCCAACTTTCTCCTTACAGGCTACTTCCCCAGCTGCTAAGCATTTGCTGGACGCCATGCCATGCACTGCTTTGAACTTCCTGTGTGAGCCCGTGCCTACGGCTGCAGGCAGCTTCGGCGGCAACACCACCACTTCGGGCCGAGTGAGCTCGATAAGCTTGAGACCTGAGGCTGATCCAACAACTCAGGCAAGACGGTCACTTGCCCGACGCCGTAGGTGCCAACCCTCATGTCCGTCAACAAGTGACCATTGCCCGTTGTGTTTGGCGATTATGAGGCTCACGCAGCGCCGCACTGTGGGTCAATGACTTTTCTGGAACACGCTCTCTCGTCAACACAGGTCACACGGCTTGATCGAAAAGCACACTCTCAAACAGGGCGAGTTGGGCGCGGAACTATTGACATGGACATCCGGGCTGACTGGAAGAATGCACTGCAACACAATTCGTGAAACTTTGGCAAGGTGTCAGGACAGTCTGCACCCCTTAGCCAGCTTAGTTGCTCTTCATATAGGACGTATGCCCTTAGATATCTAGGCGAGACACTTGGTGAGAGCACCCCCCCTGCACCCTCCTTGTGCAAGGTTGGAAACAAATCAATTGCACTGGTCGCGAAATATGGGACCCTCCGAACAAATGTGGGGGATGCCTACGCAGAGTCATGCAAAGAACCGGCGAGCCACTGGCCGTGGCCAAATACAATCAATGCCAAGCCACACATACGTAAATTGCGAGGCACGTGCCCCTGAGAAACACCCAGACTCCATATTTCTTCGCTGTGGCCAAGCTTGCTGTCTGGCACTGTCTTGTAGTCATCCATCTCCTTACTTTCAGCGAATAGGCGATCCGGTCAGGCCGACATGTGCAAATCACCGTGGTAACAAAATGGGTGCTTGTCACGCAAGCACAAACTAACAGCTCACGCTGTTGCATGCTTGCTAGAGCGTAATTCCACCTCAATTTGTTTGGGACGACTAGCAAGCAACTAAGACGCAAAGCGTGGTACCGGCGCCACCGTCTGCTTTTGTGGGAGGAGAAACAAACAAACCCAAGCTTCAAGGCTTCTCACTTCCTGAGTTGATCATGTGGGTCGGCCCAGGAAAAAGTCCAAACTTTCTGTTTGCCACTAAAATGGTCCAAGCTCAAAAAGTAGCATGTCCATGAACTCAAGAAGTGAGGCTTTCTATTCACCCGCCCTCAAGGGGCGAACTATGATTGTGACCAATACTTCAATCATTCTGGCAGTTGTTTTAAAAAACAAACCGCCACCCGACTAGCCAATGCAACTGGGTTGAAGCCGAGCTGCTAGGGGCAAAGCACTGATAAACATCGGATAAACCACACAAAAGTGATCCAAGCAAACAAGAGCGATCACAAATTATTGGCACCTGACTCAGTGCCACTTCAGGCGGCATGAGTCCGAGATTTCGGAATTGGAAACCATAGCTGCAGCCAAAGAGCGGCCAAATACACCAGGGTGCTAATGCTGTTGTGGCGATACTTTGTCCGCTCCTGGCAGGAAGCATTGAAGGGTTCAAAACCGTCATGGCTCAAGTTGGATAAATTGGCATGCTAGTTTCTGCAGCTCGTCACTTGTGCCATCCTTGCCCCACTTTGGAGGTGCCTTCAAAAAACATAAATCCAAGTTGCAGCGCTCAGGCCAGCAAAAACAAACAAAATCAAAGCTAGTGTAATAGGAAGTAGCTCCTTGTGGAATTCCTTGCAGCATGTACAAGCCCTAAGAAAGGGGCGAAATCCAACTTCTGATGCATGATGTAGAGCTATGACTGCAACAGGCCAAGAAACACGGGCCTTTTGCAAGCGATGCGGATGCCTTGTTTCTGCATTGCCTCTAAAAGGCGCATGACAGAATACTGTAGTCCTCCATGCAAAGCACGCAGGAACAAACACCTTGATTTTGGAAGCGTCAACACCCCGTGAAATTCGCTCAACATGTTTACCGAGTCTTCCCCAAATTAAAGGCCTCTCGGTTCGTTGAGCTGGTCCTCGGCATAGCCGCCGTAAGTGTTAGGCCGGCATACAGTGATGGGCATGGGCGAGCTCTCCCAACCTGCGGCGTAGGACCAGTCTTCCATGCCGCCTTCCACCGGATAGACCTGATATGCGAAGCTACTCTTTTCATGCATTGGCTTCTTGGACCCCATGGCAAGTGATGTTTCAGCCCAAGGGGAATGCGCATGGAGGGTGGCGGAACTGATACGACCAGGGGCATGATCAGACTCTCCAAAGCACACATCACGGAGGCATGTGCGCAGCAGTGGCACCACTCGCCTCACTCCCCTCACCCTCCATGCAATTCTTGGGTTGTTGCCCTGTCAGAGCAGGGATGGCCTAGATTTTGTTCAGCTGGTCTCCGAATTTAGCGAAACCCAAAACATGGTAGCGTCCGTCCGGTGCCCCATAGGACAACTCCAAACAAGGTACCTTCAAAAGCAAAGCGCGCCTACTCATTGAGTGCAATGAGCTTCCCCCAATGAGCAAGAGGCGATGAAGGCGTGAGCATTGTTGCCGCAGACTGCCGAGATCTCCCACAAGTGTGTATGCCCATTGTAGGCATCTGCTACAAGGTGCATAATAGAAGCTTGAGTTGTTCCTTTCCTGCGTGTGGCTTAGACTTACACCAAGGCGTGAAGAGTGGACAAAAGCCCGCACCAGTTGCATGAAACCCCATCTTGGGATAAACCACCTGCCAACTGGTGAATGATGTTTTGCCCATCAGCCTCTTTAAACCAGTTTTTTTGTTTCCTTGGCGATGGCCAGTCTCCCTGCGCCCCCAAACTGAGCAGCGGCACCAAATCGTTGATCCTCCCTAAAGGATAGAACCAGCGCCGCGTCAACGTCTTTCCGGCCGCGGCTTGGATCGCTTCGCCCACCTCAAACAGCAAGCGATGCGTATGTGTGCCTAACACACGGACATGCGTCCGTGCAACATGTCGAGACTGCAATACAGTTCGTTGAACATATGCACCATCCTATGCACCATCCTGGGCTTACTCCTTAAATATTTCCCATCAAGCTGGAAGCATGGTTTTGGGACCGAAGGCTTCAATAGTGTAAAGCGTTCCAACCAGCCTCAAGGATCAACGTGCTGAAGGACAAATGCAACAACATATATTTGTTAACGCTTTGAAGGCTGCAGAATGAATGGCTGAACCTTTGGCCAGCAATGTCTTTGGGTTCGGGAGTAAGGGACACCAAAAAGCTTTGAACAGGACGCGAAACTGGAAGCACCCCGTAGTTTTATTTGCGAACACCTCCAACAAGCCATTTTCATTAGGGCCTAACCCCAGCGCTTAGTTACAAGCAATTCTGCTGGGATAAATAAATCTGCCAAGCTCCGGGTACCAACCATCACCCAGCCTCTCGAAAGGCAGTATCATCCGGAGGCTCTGTGGACCGTGTCCTTTTTTTCGTCATGTGATTCCTGCGCGCAGCATCGTCTCATTTGGATGAATATAAGCCAAAAAAACAAAATGATGCCATTTCTGTGGTGCTGATGTCAAAGAGCACGGCAGCTAGGCGTTTGAAGGCCAGTGATTCATCGAGGCCCGATCCCGGAAATTGTTCAAGAATAACATTCGATGCATTTGGCACAATACGCAAACGGTATGTTGATACTTTACCGAAGCCAAAACTACATACAGTCCGCTGCTCTAGAAGATCAGCTTGCTGCTGGGTCTGAATTGCAGGTCTCGCACAGCTTGTGAGACCCTGAACGCCATGGGCGTTGGTTTGGCCGGCGTACCCTTCACTTGGACCATGCCCCAATTCAGAAATACAAGCCACACATTGCATGGACCTTGATTCCATGCGAGCCTGGATCCCCACTCGTAGGTCAGCGCACGCATGCCGCCGTGAAAAGTGATCATGAACCTGCGCCAGTCGATTGCAATTGAGCGACTTTACCGTGCCATACTTGAATAGTCTGACTGGCGGCTACCACTCAACCATGCCAACTGTCAACCAGCAGGTAGGGTGCATACCATCTCCGGAAGTGGGGTTCAGAGCCGCCTCATGCGTAGCAACCACGGGGTCATGTGAAGAGGTCTTGCCAACCCAAAACAGGCAGCCAGCTATGAAAGACTGAAACACTGTCTCATACCGCATGCGTACAAAGTTCTCCAGCACGAGCGCCAGTCAAACTGAACGTCACTCAAACTCTATCGGCACTCGTGACTTCACAAGACTATGCACCTGCTTACAAAGAGGAAGGCGGACCAGAAAGCACTGCTTTGCGTGTCACCAATGTTGGGTGCTTGACGTTGGCGCAACAACCTGCGTTGTTTCAGGCCAAAATGCGCCGTTCGGCATTGATCACTACACGCAGCAACTACTAATGGATTGTTACGAGCGGGGCCGCTTTGGTGCTTCCAATGTCTTATCTGGTGGGATCAGCAACTATTGACGACCCCTATCCTAAAACAAGCCGAACACCGTGCAAAGCAATCCCTCAGCTAAATCACTCCGCGGAGCTGGAAAAGATGACGGCGGAACAGCTCCTCAGATCTGGACCCGTGACATGCTCGAACATGTTGGGTCTCTACTTGGATTTGGTAATGTTTAGCCCTGCATCCAGGATCGAAACCTCTTCCATGATCATCTTTGAGTAAAGGGCAAAGACAAATGCTGGCACATGTTGAGTCAGTAGGGACCTATGGTCTGAGAAACCTCGGCAGCATGCGCCGGGATTAGAATGCCCTGTATGCCTGGGATGATCAAGAACGCTCCAGAATGCCCCAGGCGTGCGGGGCGCCTGTTGCTAATTCCCTTGCCTCACACAGCAACTCACGCACACACACACACACACACACCACAACAAAGACCTACAAGGAAACGCAAACAACAGCACAAAATCGCCAGAGAGCAACACTGAGATAGAACGTAACTCAGGCCGGCAGCCAAATACACGCATGCACGTTTGTGAAGTCTACCCCTTGTTGGGGGGGAGGGGTACGCTTGGTGCTCGGCCAAACGGAGTTCTTTGCAAACAATCCGATGGGAAGCAGCGAGTACATATGCTTGCATCAGCTAGCTAAGACTTCTACGCAGGCGCCGTTCGGTCTTCTTTATGAAATTAGCGTGGGCTCAATAGCTAGTTGGCGACAACAGGAGTGACAAAATACGTGGAGTTATTGCCTCAGTTGTGAAAATGATTGCGCACATACTAGGCAACCAGGTAACCGGTCTGGCCTATGGCCATTGGAAACATAAACTAGACGTCCAAATGGACCAAGATAGTCAATTCCGCAAAGGATTTCCAGTGACCATGATCATTCTCTTGAGCAGATTGTGCGTACTCTATCAAGCTTCCGTGGTGCATGCGCCAGTGGCTGCCCACGTTTGATTACACAAACATGCCACCCCGTGACAATGAAAGCTTTTGCATGAGGGTCTCAAAGCCTGTGTGTCCCCTTGGCTGGTTCTTTGTACAGGCACAAAGTGGCTACCGAGGAAACCATTGCAAAGGCTCCCATCATTGTGCTGCTTCTCCGCCAAGGCTCGTTCACTGCGCGTGCCGTCTGGGTCCTCATGCACCTGTCTGGCTGCTGGAGGTAAGGGAAATCCCGATTGGGGTCCATCTGGTTCTCGTCCCGGCGGCGGTTCGCGTAGCCATGGGCGTTAGTCATCGGCATTATCCACCTGATGAATCCCAGTTGACTGCATACAGCATGCAACATCTGCTCACTGCATTCACGTCATCAATTTTCTGTATGTTCCTGTGGGCGCAAAAGGGAAGCACACAGCAACATCTGACGATACTGTATCATCTCAACGTTTGCCGTTGCATCACAAGTCGGATGCTTTCGTACAGTCTGTGCCTCTTTGAATGCCTTGCAACAGTAACCTAGACAAGCGAAAGTCCAGTCAGGTCTTGCAAATGCCCACCGAGCAGCGTAGCCCGGTAGTCCACTAGACGCCGGACCTGAAGCCGAGACAGGAAAAGCATAACAGGAGAGGTGGCATATCGAATTACACGGCCATTTTCTTCGGGATTGTTTTTCCCTGAGATGTGTTGTTTTATCTCCAGGCTTTTCTGCTTTTGCTGGCATGTTTTGTTTGCGGCTTTTGGCGGCGTTTTGGACCAAATTTACCCAAAAGGAACCCTAAGCCAGCACAAAACCCACACCCAAAGAAATCCTTAACCAACCCAAAACCCACCCTACTCCACCAACCCTAAGCAAACCCTACGTGTACTGCAAAACAACTTAAAGCAACCCTAAACCCATCCTAAACTTACCGTAAACCCACTGTCAACTAACGACCCGAGCCCAACCCTAAAACCCACCTCAGCCCTAAACCCAGCAGACTCAGAAAACCTCATTGCTGATACAGCACCTGGACCTATCTCAGCCCTGTGCACTGTTGAAGTTGCTTGGACAGCGGCCTTCAACATGCAAGCAAGCATCATTAAATTAAGCGTTGCGGTTCAAAAGCTCCGTGCTCTCATCCAAATTCATGGCATGGCGCGCTAAAATGATATCATTCCTGAAACGTCGCTCGTTGGTCGGGAAACAATGCCATTTCGACGGGACACGTTGCCGTTTAGATGGGGGAACTTGCCGAGCTTCTTGTTTGGAAAGCTGTTGTGTCGCCAAACGCCGCCGCTTCCTGAGGAAAAATACAAGTTGTCTGACCAAACAGCTGAATACTGCGCATGAGGAAGGCACTGGCATAAAATGGGTCCTTCACCTCTAGAAGCCACGGCCCTCAACTGCTAGGAGGTGGCTGCCTAGCCCTCTTGCAACCCTACATGGCATGCACTCGATGCCGGCAACCAACAAAGCGTTGGTCATTAGATTCACTGAAGAAAACCTGAAACTCAATAACTATCAGCCAGCATCTGAGCAACCACCTGCCGCAATCTCCCTGTTCCAGCCTGCTCATTTGTTGCGTAGCGCTCGCAAAGGAAGGCCGCCAGCTCTGTGACTGTCAGGGGGCCCACCCTGACAGCGGCCCACTGAACAGGGTAGCTCTACAAGTCTTCTCAAATCTTGCCGATTGGGGGGGGTCACTTAAGCTCTCCTTGAGTGAAAGTCAAGCAGGGTATGCGAACCATGATGATTTGCCTGGCAATTGTCGAATGATTGGCATGAGGTGGCATTGTTCACCCCTTCCCCGAGCAAAATGTTTCCAGCCTTTCGTCCCCATGCAGCGCTCCACTGAAGAAAACCTCTGGCGTGGAGTTGGTGAGCAAGCGCTTGTTGGCGATGCGGACCTGATCATGCCAATCACCTGGTGTGCTTTTTGCCCAACCCTGGCACAGCTCAGCACCTCACGCAAGGTGTCTGACGGTAAAAACGATGAACATCTTCAGAAAGCGCATTCTTGTGTGCAGTAGCTACTGAAGTTCAGGTTTGCTTGTGGAGTTCGTGTTCAGCTGGTTTGGCCGCGAGAAGTGACATTAACAACCCCGATACAATTCCTGTCCAAGCCCCGCTCTGATTGAAAATAACTTTTTGAAAGTAGCCCCAAAACTTGGGAAGCAAAGCCCTCAGAGTCATCACACTTACTCTCCAAACCAACCAATCAACCAACCAAGCAAGCAAGAAAGCAAGCAAGCAAACCAAACCAAACCAAACCAAACCAAACCAACCATGCCAGCAGGGTGAAGGCATATGCCAGGGATGGGCCAAAAACACAGAGCTTCCTGACAGGCCCCAACGACAATCCCCGTGTTGCACAGAAAACAGAGGATTACGGCCATGGTCAGTTCAATGTTTTGGACCAAGTGACCTGTATTCAACCGAAACAACTGATCTGCAAGCCTTTGTGGGCCCAACAAGTCACCGGATTTTGAGGAGTCAAGTTTCGCTCGAAGCCTCGGATGATTCCCGGACGATCTTGGATTCATCATCCCGATTCCCTTGCTTGGTCTTACGCAATTGGGACGACTGGGCAAAAGCCCTGAGCTCACCTGCCAAGCATCAATGAGAGTCTTGCAAGGCTCGCCCTCGCAGGTACCCCATGACTTCTTCTCTGGGAGGATCTCGGGGAAAATGTCCTCCCGGCGTGCGGAGAGTTGGGTGATCCAGCAAGCATCGATGGACACTCTCTTGGAACCAGCACTGAACCAACCTCTGAGAGCTTGAGTGTGATTCACGTATGGGGTCCGGGGCAAGGAGGCTGCTTTGCACTGCTCAATGCTGCTAGAGGTCATTTGAATGAGGGGGAGAACATTTTGAACACCATTTGCTGAACTCATGGAGCTATCATCCACATGATTCGGGTAAAATTCGGGAGAACACCCTTGGACGCAATCCAATGTGGCGTGGTTTAACTGGGGCGTCAAGAAAGGCAGCACGACCTATACGCCTTCCTGCGAGTCCTGCGCATACCAAATCTCCACAATGTCAGGGTAGCGACGCTTAAGGTCCTCGAAGAAGTCATGTGTCTCTCCTCAGGTCGGGCATGGCGTTTTGAGAGCTTTCAGGGAAGCAGCTGCGTCCTGTAAGCTTCAGCCACGAACAATCGATTCAGAGAAACTATTGCCGCCACCGTGAAGAAACTAGCGGGAACCGATGGCCCTGGTGCCGCCCTGGAATTCAGCAGCCCCCAAACGCTTCGTTACTGTAATCCAAACCGTTTGTGAAAGCAAATACTCCTACGATAGCTTTGACTGAGCAACAGCTCAAGTGGGCTTGTCGGTGACCTTCACACAAGTGCCAAGATTCGGTATGATCGATATCTGAAGACGCGATCTGCAGGTGCCAGGTGGCACAGAATCGCGACCTGCCATCTTTCAAGCTACTGTAAGACACACATGGCAGCATGACAGTTTCAACACGACATCTGCAAAGAAAAGCACCACACCAACACGCAAACACACACGCAGACACACACGCAGACACCCAGCCACCCAGCCACCCAGCCACCCAGCCACCCACCCACCCACCCACCCACCCACCCACCCACCCACACACACACACACACACACACACACGCGCGCGCGCGCACGCACACGTGCATCAACGAGCTGAGCTCCACTGATAGAATTCCATATGTTCTCGAAGCTCCAAAACGCAAATCTGGTTCAGTGCCATCCATTTTGTTCAGGTTCCATCAAAAGCTTGCCCCGGCGGACCAACACAGCTTGAATCAAGCGTCTGGCTTCTCATACGTCGCCCCTCCAAAAACGCAAACGGAGGTGAGTTGGCCGGCGGTAAAAGAGGCTTGCTTGAGCAAAAGGCAAGCAAACAGGCCACAGCAGCGCCTACTACAAATGATACTATGCAAAACAAAGCTCTGAACACATGGCACCAAAAACAGGATGCCTTCCGCACAGCAGCAATCACAGCCGTCTGCAAATGTCGTGCTACCACCCACCTTAAGGCCCTTCGCAAGCATTTCCTTTACAAAGGGACCTGGTGGTGGGCTGCCAGCCCTGCCATGTCCCGGCCGTGCGGCTTAGGATACATCCGGTTCAAACAGGGCGGCCTGCAGCCAGCGTGTCCAAGCGCAGGCCATCATGACTCCAGCGATCAGCGCATGAAGGCGCGAAGCGCATCACGTGTTTTTGCCGGTATCGCGTTAACTTTGTGCTTCTTCTCCGAGCAGTTAAGCCAAATCCTTTTGCAGGCGCTTGGACGGGACTTGAGTTTCGGCATTGCCCTCTCTCAAGCAATGAAAGTGGGGACGGCCCTTGGCATGTTTGCACCCCCGGTCCCCTGGTTAGCGCAAATGCACGATTCACAGTCATATCGAATTATGGCATGCCAATTGAGGGCTGAAGATTCATGAGCAGAAGCAATCAATCTCTCTCCAAATCGCCGAGCTATCGTGGTCCAGCAGCCGCGTAATATGTCAATGTATGTAACGTATGTATGTACGTACGTACGTGCGTATGTATGTATGTATGTATGTATGTATGTATTGTTGCCTTTGCTTTCAAAAGCTGCGGCAAGCTATGTCGAGCCGAATGTGCTGCTTGCACGAAGGTCTTTTCCATGCACTTGCTGTGGCGGCGTAGTGGTGGTATATCATGAACGCGTGCATCTGCATCTCAGCTGGCTACAACGTTGGCATGGCAAATGTACATTGGGGGGGCTTACCGAGGTGGATGATCCTAACCTACGTGACACACACACACACACACGTACACACGCATTCATGAAGCAGGGAGTTGTCTTTCACAGGTTCCAGTTGGGTCAAAGTGATGCACACTGGCATAAGGGGAGAATGAGGTATGATGGTATGACATGTCACCAACACAAGGTTTCAAGCAACAAAATCCCCCGGTGGCCCAACCAAAGCACACGAACACAATTCCACAAACGCAAGCTACGCATCCGACAGTTCAATAGCTGGCAAAGTGATACCAATTGATCATACTCATCTATGTGTCTGTGTATGTACGTACACACACACACACACACATATATATATATATTAGGATAATAGATTACTTGTTCGTCTATATATCCATGGCATAAAACAAAAGGTTTAGCATCCACACCACATGCGCCAAAACTTGCTTGCGAGGGCCAGGGTCATGGCTCCCTTGTTCTTATAGTGTTTTTGTTCAAATTTCCACACATATGACTCGACTGCCACTCCCACAATCACGGTGTCTCATACCCATGGGGCGCATGCCAAATGCGGATCCTTTCTCCCCAGGAAAACACGCCGCCCAGGAAGTCTTGCAGCTGCTGCCATGGCCTCAAGCGATCCGATGTGAGATGCCCCAAGGACCAGCCACTCCACATCTTTCGCAGTACACGAACCGCCCTCTGTCAAGGGCATTTTCAGGTATGGGTTTCGGGGTTTCAGAAATACAGAGGTTTTACACTACTTACAAAGAGGGGTGTGTACTGCCTTTCAAGCTTATATTGGTTCTATGTAAGCATCCATACCCTGCAACCCCATGCCCGAACATGCCCTTCAACTATCATGAACTACCCACCCTCTAACTCTAGCCGCTCACCAACCACCCACTAACCACGTGTTGATGCTGTAGAGCAGGCAAGATCATGCGAAGAAGCGCTGGAATGTCTTTTCCTACCTGTCTGCTCAACTCATGGGCCTAAAAGGCCGGTCGGGGATGATTTCCCTCGTGCAAACAGTGAAATATTCACACAGCTCCAAAATGGAGCAAATTTTTCTGTTGGCTTGGCATCACTGCTGCTTGTTGAACTTTGATGGGATCTTGATGTTCCCGGTCGCCATGAGCCCCCAACATTTGCATGGGCACATTCTCTTCGTGAGGACGTCGCTCATCTGCTATTCAGTTGGCACCCAGTGGAGTGGCACCTTCATGGGGCGTGTCGATGTCGGCTCCAAGCCAGGGTTCCTCATCTCCCACTGGCGCTGTCCTTCCTGACGGAGAATCTGTCGAAGACCCGCCAGGTCGATGGCCAGCCGCTTCTCCGAGGGTGCCTTTGGGGCTCCTGCTCTGTGGATGTGACCGCCTTGGTGCTCTTCGGGGCCCGACACTCCCTGTAGTAGTACGCCAGGTCTCCCAACGCAAACTCGTGCTTCTGAACTCGCGGACGTCGTAGTAGCGCTCGCCGGGCGCTGTCCTTCGCCTGGATCTTGAAGAAGGAGGCCAGGCTCCCATCCTGATGGCATTGATCCGCGACATCTTACTGTCTTTGGTCACCTTGAGGGTCTCGAAGGAATCCGGCTCCTCCATGATGTCCCCCACTTCCCGAGGCAACGAGCCGAAGACCCATTGCCGAGGAGCGTAACCATCCCGGTTCCGCAAGCAGTTCGTAGCATCGTTCACCGCCGTAATGCCAAGAGGTACTTCACTCGGCAGGATCACCTCGTGCTTGCAGGTCTTCTCCCAGATAGCTTTCCAGCTGGAATTGTGCCGCTCCACCAGTGCTCCTTGCCCAGGCGCATTGCTCCGGATGTGCACCCAGTGTCGCCCGCCATGCTGAGGAACTGATCCTTGAACCCGCTGTCCAAATCGATGATGAACCGGGGGTGACCTGCCCAGGAGGCCCAATACATATGCTCAGCGCCTTCACCTTGTTCCCGGTAGAATCGTCAAAGTGGATCACGTCCATAGCGAGCGCCTCCCCGAAGTCCATCAGCGTGGCTGGCCGGGCCGGTCGTCGTGTCCCGGGTTTCGAGCACCTGCTGCACGTCTGACACTTCAAGCATTTCGCAGCTCGGATGAGGTGTTCGTCCGCGTCCGAGTACTTCAGCTGGCGGGCCAACTCATCGTTGGGTTGATGTTGCAGTTTCTTGCATATTGCCGCCCATTTGGCTGGGACCTGCTCACCGAAGGTGATGCCACGAGAGCCCTGCCATTCCTCATCTGGGACCAGCTCGGTCTCGTCGAGGATTCGTCCCTCGGAACCCCGCCCCCAGCTTTGTTCACCGCAAAAGCCGTGCGCTCTCCCAAGTAGGCCTTCAGGACGCCGCGGGCGAACCGCCATGGGTAGTGGGCTGTCGCCCCCGTCTCCGCGCCTTGAATCCGTCGGTGTTCATGACCGCCGTCACATTGTTTTCCCAGGGTCTTCTCAAAGGCGCCCGAGGTAGTCGTCAGCTTGATGGTCTTCCTCAGCCGCTCTTTCCCGTCCAGGCTCATCATACCGAAGCAGCGTAGCTGCCGGGTCCGCCACCCACTTCCTCACCAGTGGTTCCTCACAGAGCGCCACGTCCATGACGGTGAGCCACCGCTCATCTTCTGCAACAGCATGACCTCATCGTAGAGTTCCAGGAACACCCGGTCTCGTTGTCGTAGCCGTTGTAGTTCTTGAGGTGAGTGGTTGAGATGGCTGAGCCCGCAGAAGTTCGTGCAGGGAGGTGCCAGCCACACCAATCGCGGCCGTTTCTCCTCAACCAACTGTAGTACCTCTGCCCGCCGTGTCGCCTGGCACCATCAGACCGGCCGCCTCAAATGTTCGGGAGATCCTCCCTTTCCCAGCAAAGATCTCCAGCAGATCGGGACGCCCTTCATCCGCCTCATGCGCCACCCGAGCACCAGAGCAACAAGTCCAGAGGTCGTTGACCGGTTCACCGACCATTTCCTGAGTGAGGGCAATCGCCGTCATGAAGCATATCGAGACGACGTTCTTCGTGGCGCGGGCCATATTCTGCACCTTCTTCCAGGTGGTCGCCTTCATCTTGCGTCTGCGAACACCGGCCACCGCTCTCTGGTGCTTCTCATCCGCGGAGAGTTGCCCACAATCACTTGGCTCCTCCGCGTCCCCCACCACCTCCGGTACTCCAGCACCTTTAGCGTCTCTGGCAACTTTAGCATCTTGAGCGGCTTTAGCGTCTCCGGCAACTTCAACTCCTACTCCTTCTTGGTCACCCGGTCCAGGTTGTTCTTGTCCCGCAGCGCCGCCAACTCCGTTTCCAGTCTGGTGATCCGCTCCCGATCGACCTCCGAGACCGTGATCTCCATCCAGTCCTTGTCGTCCTGGCTCCTCCGGGTCCGGTTGGTCTTGGCATAGCCCTTCCCGCCACCGCGGCTGCGTGTTGCTACTGAGGAGGATGTTCCAGCCCCGTCGGAGGAATCCCAGGAAAGGACTCCCGTCGCCTGCGGCGGCGGCACCACCGCCACAGTCTCCGGGTCCTTGGCCATCTTGTCGATCCACTTAAAGGGCTTCCCGGCGTTCTTCTCCTGGACGTCCTCTGAGTTCCGGCTCTGTGCCCATGCCGCCACACCTTCTCCGCCTCCGCCTTGAGCTCGGTCAGGTTCATCTTGCCCGTCTGCTTCAGCGAGGTCGCAGTCTCCTTGGCCGGCTTGTTCTCCACCACTAGCTGGCGGAGTTCCGGCACCGTCCAGGAGGGGTGGAAAGTATGCCCATGTCCTCCAGCGTCTTCATCAAGTCTTCCTTTCGCATCTTCCATGGCGAGGTCGGCATAGAGGACATTGGGTTCCGAATTGGTAAGTTTTGAGAGGCCGGGCATTCTCTGAAATCGTACAAATGAGTTGCGGCCGATCCAGAGGTTCTGAGGTGATTCACGCGGTGGTGCGCCCGATTGCCAATCATACGTGAAGGTCTGAGGAGGCCCAGCTTGTACACAGGGGATCGACTTGGCAGAGGGGCCCCAAGGATTCTATCAACTTCTTCTTTAGGGCGCTCTGGTTGGTCACAAGGGTTGAGCCAGGTCCTTCTGGGGGTCACATGAACTCGGATCATCCTCTCTCTAGTCTCAACCGAGAAGTCCCTCCCAATCTTGTTGTGCTTCCACCATGACAGGAAGATTTCCTTGGGCAAGGCGTCCGACCCACTCAAGAAATTCTGAACCACCAGGGGAACCTTCTTCGGGTGGAACAGCTTCGGGAAGTCCGTCTCGCCCTCATCAACGGGGGTAGTGGGACCACCAGACGGATGCGCCATGTGCACTCGCAACTGGCTACAATGCCACTTCCTGATGGTCAGGAAGACTGGCAAAAAGCTCCTCGGTCGGAATAAAATCTCCGAGTTGCCGACCGGCCGACAGGGCGACAAGAAATCGGCTCTTAACCGGGCTAGGGCTGTCCTGCTTAAAAGAAGCGGCCACCAGTGCAGTTCGCGATGGAGACCAGTTCTTACTCTCCAAGCCCAAGACCGCCCACACGGCGAAACTCGACTGATGGGGCCGAGATGCCGGAACGTCTCAGACTGGTCCACCGTGTATATCGGCAGACTGTTGGCCTCAGCAAACCGGGTGTACTCCTGGAACCAATCGTAGCCACACTCCGGCTGCATGCCGTGTCCATGATGGCCACCCGTTCCTGATGTGGCCTTCCGGTAGGGCCTCCGGGCGCCGTTGTCCTCGCCCGCCTCGAACACCTTGCAGCGCCGGGTTCAACTGTATCACGTCTTCATCTGCAACGCCGATGTGGTCGTTGTCAGCCGCAGTGGCGAAGACGACATGGCACTCATGACCCGGACGGCTGCCTCCGTGGTCCTTGTTCACGCCCTTCTTCGGCGGGCAGGCAGCGTCCTTATGCCAATGCCCCTTGCGCTTGCAAGCCGAGCAGTACCGGTTCTTGGCTTCCTGCAGTCGTTGCTTCGCCCGGGCCTTGGCCTCATCCTGGTCCACACCACGACCAGAGACCGTTGCTTTGAACCTGGCTTTCGCCGCTCGCGACTTCCTCGAGCATGATGTCCTCCCCGGGCTCCGCCCCATCTTCTCCATCAGCTCCATCCTGGTTTGGGTCTCGGCCATCCAGGCGGTCTGACCGCGTTCACGCCTCCTCCCAAATTATCCGTTGTTCGTCCGCGGCTTTCCTCCGAAGAATTCCTGGGGTCGCTGAAGGGTTCGATCTTGTAGTAGTGCAGCTCGCTGAAGTAGCCCGTAGTCGAACTGGTTCCCCACCCAAAAGAGCAACGCTGTCTCCTCATTCTCCGAGATTCCCATCTTGCTCAGGTAGGCCCAAGCCTTCACCAATGGGGGAAGCTCACAGGAGACCTCCTGGAGCCGTAGGATCATCCTCTCATATTCCATGTTATAGTCCCGCATGGTGTGCTCCGGCCGACGCTTGAACTTCCTCAAAAGACTCCGTCATCACCCTGACCACCTTGATGAGCTCCAAGTCCAAGAGCCGCGTTCTGACCCATTCCTGGAAGTACTCCACGCCCTCAGCAGTCGCCAGTCGGTCCAGGCTCAGCTCCTCCGCAAAGCTCCACGCTCGCCCGCTGAGTGCTGAATAAAGGGCGAGTGCTTGTTGTTCCGGCGGTAGTCGCGTGCAGCGCAGCCAAACCTGCATCTTCCTCAAGTAGGACCTGGCGCCCAACCCGAGTTTCTCATCTTCAGCTCGAAGGTGGGCACGTTCAAGCGCTCGCTCGGCTTGTCCTTCCGGCTGTTAAAGTCCCAGGGCGTTTCTTCAGCAGCGTGATGTCCTCCAGGTGGCGTGACAGCTCCATGCCAAACTCCAGACTGCGAAGCCACTAGCGAGTTCAGCTCGCAGTGGGAGAGCCGTCGCGTCTGTGAATCGGTCCACCAACCAGTCTTCCAGGCCTGGTTGTCCGAGTGGTGCTTCGACGGGTACTCCACCTCATAGCCACGCGCCCCATCGCGTGATGAGTACTATCCCCAATTGTCCCACCACTCATCTGACCAAGTAGCCCGGTCCCGGCTGTCCGTGTCCAGGTTGCTGCCACCACCAGCCTGTCCATATCCCGCCCAGGGATCAACTCCTGTTCCGTCTCCGGCTTGCCAGGGGTCATCTTCTCCTTGAACCGCCACGTCCGCCTGCGCCTCAGTGGCGTGGTCCGGGGCTGCCGCTTCTCCACCTATTCCCAACTGGCCTTCTGGAACCTCATCTCCTCCACCTGGGCGAGGTGCCCACATGCGCCCCCCCCTTTCACCATCTCCGCCTATCCACCACCGGTAGTAGACGGTGCACTGGTCCGTGGCCGTGAACTTCGGCTCCGCTACCAATGTTGATGCTGTAGAGCAGGCAAGATCATGCGAAGAAGCGCTGGAATGTCTTTTCCTGTCTGCTCAACTCATGGGCCTAAAAGGCCGGTCGGGGATGATTTCCCTCATGCAAGCAGTGAAATATGCACACCACGCACTAATTTCATTAACCATCCGCCAAGCGCTCACCAACGGCGAAGCAACTATCTATACCCGCACCCATGAATGAAGACAAGTGACGTCTTGGCGCTGCTCGAAGCCCCGACTTCCTTCTCTGCTTTCTCTGCTGGGCCTGCTTCAGCTGCCACACCTGCCGCTGTTTTGGCAGGCCGAACATGTGATTGGCCGGAAAAAATGCACTCTTTAGGGACGAGCCTGATCTCTATGTGACTTTTTGCTTTTTGAATTGCCAACCCATGAATATCTCCACGGTCGCTCCGTGGAATGGAATGGCCTGTGACCGTGAAGGCAAGGCAGGAGCAAAGCCTGGCCCTTGCAATCTGTGCTTTCAAGGTTGCCAGCCACTTCAAAAGAAGAAAACAACTGCGGGGTGCTGTGCAGACTGCATACTGTACTTCACAGGAGTTTCATCCAGGATGATCTGGACATGACCAAACTAGAAGCGCTCCACCCCTGCATTCATCATCAGCATTGAGAATCAGAAAAGCGTAAAAGAGACATAGAGTATGTGATTATATAACTATTTCGTAGTAAGATCTTGCAATGAGGCATTTTGCGGTCGCACGGGGCCAACTGCTAGAACCCATATCAATATCAGGCCTTTTTCGAACAAGGGGCAATGGTCCAAGCACAACGCATCCATTGCAGCCTCACGCCCAGCGAAGAAGGCCAGCCTTGCTGCTCACAGAAATCTGTCACCATAATCTCGTTGACAGTGAAATGCACGTAGTCTCCAGCCCTCAGTGCCTGCGTGCAGTGTTTTTTTGATATCTGACGGGAGGGATCGAAGCCGATGGGCTTCCTCCTTTCCTTTCCCAAGGCGCCGAAACATGGTCATGGATTGAGCAAATGATGATCAAATGGGCTTGCGTGGACTCGCATCGCATTGCAACTCAAGACCGAACCTGTTCCAGTCGCCGGATGTTCTCCCTAAGTCGTGCTCAACCCCCTGGCAGAGCGGCTGAAGGCAAAGGGCATCGCCCAGCCACACAACGCACGCTGGATGGAGCACAGGAATCACACTGTCACATGCAACTGCGCTGAGACACAGAGAGGGCGGCTATGTTGCATCCAATCCTGCAGCGCTGCTCCCCTTACCTTACTACGCTGAAAGTCTAAATTTTGGATTATCTTTAGGACAGCCAGAACACCGGGCCGAGTGGCAGGTCCGTTGGCAAACATGTACACTTCGCATGGTCCCCCCGCCTCTGAGCGCTCTCGCAAGCTCCTGGGCAGGCTTGAGTCTACTCCTCCTGGACCAACTGTCTTGGCGAAACGGCCAAAGGCAATCCACATTGAAAATGCACAAAAGCAACGGTCAATCTTCCTGGTCATGGGGGGCAAATGGCATTGCAAACTAAATGAGAGATTCCCTTGCGTCCATGGCCCATCCATCGCTGCTTTGGGGAACCTAAGCAGTTTATACACTGACCATGGAAAAGGACTACCTTCGGACCACGGAGTACTGCCGGCCCGCTGAAGGGTTGGCTGGAAGTACATCCACATAAGGCCCCCACCCATCCAACCAAATGGAAATTCACCCTGGACAAACTACAGCGATTGCGACGCCGTCGTCCCGACCCTCCCCCTGATCTTTCTTACAAAAAACGAACCTCAGACCCCTCAGCTGCCTCGGTGGCCCATGCGCCCAGTGGCCCATCTCCGTGGAAGGTCTCCGAGGAGATGCGGAAGTGACGTACCTACGGCGTGTTAAAACGCTACGACAAGCACGGCAAACGGAGAGCTCTCTTAAGCTCAGGTGCTCGTGGCGTTGCTTGGCAGAACTTGATCGAACCATCAAGGAAGGCTGTTGCTAACTTTGACTAGAAAAGGTCAAAGCGATCTCGGCTTGCTGGGATAATGACGAAAACGTTCAGGAACCTTCTGGCAAAATGCTGACCTGGTTGGCAAGCGCGGGGCAAAGCGCTACAAATTAAAGAAGTTCGTCTGTGAATAGGGGAACCCTCAGAAATGATGTTTTTCCTTTGAAAAGACACTCCCAGAAAGTTATATCACGCATACGCGTGAAGCTCCCAGCCTGCCCGAGCTTCTCTGACTCAGCTTCCTCTCCTTCCTCTCCTTCCTCTCCTTCCTTTGCTTCCTCCAAAACCTTGGAGGCCGGGCCATGTTGTGGATTTCACAGGTTGGAACACTCTCAGGTGGCAGGACAGACCTCCCCAGGACATTCAGCCATATGCCGTAAGTTCTAGCTGACTGCTGGCAAATTGCTCATGGCAGTGAAATAATAATCGAAGGAACCCACCGGGAAGTTTGTTTGATGGCAACCCTTGCGCTCACTTTGAGACAAGGCACAGCTGCTGCAGCTATGTCGAGCCTTGCTGAAGGGCAGCGAAACAAAAGCTTGAGCCCCTAGCTGACCTTTGAAACATCACATGGGGCTGGCAAATGATTCGTTTGAACACGAAACCAGCAACGAGTAACCAGGTGTGCAAGCCAACAAATCGAACACACCGGCGCCGCATTCAAACGCGAAGAATCATGTTCCTTCCGAAAACTTCTGATTCTGACTTGGCGGCCCTTGACAGGGGATCGCGCAAACGGGGTGTTTCCCGGGCAATTTCGGGCGGTTTCATTTTTGGTTGGCGCACATCTCTCAGCACATCTGGCTTATCAGGCTGTGTTGGGCTGTTTTGTTTCTGCCTGAAACTGCCTGAAATCCAAACCCGTTACAGAGTCCCCCGCTAAGGGCTCTCTGATATAATCTCTGTTGTGTGTCCAACTCTTTACATGCCTGATTGAACTCAGGGACAGTCGGAAATAAAGGGATCCAGCAGCATGGCCGACCAGAATGTGATGTTCAAACAACCTTGGTGATGCCAGGCTATGGGGCCTGCATGTCCCTGCTAAGCGCGCAACCTCTTCTATCTTTGGGAAAAAAGTTCAAAAGAACACGTATACTAGGGGGGTTGTAAACCCTGCATGTTTCCCCTGTTTTTCCTGGCCCCATCTCAGGCATTCGTCCCAGCCGGCGGCCAAGAGACGTGTTGCCCTGGCAACGGTTCGCCTCCTGGTCGGACAGGACCTGGGAACTGAGGTGTGAATGAGAAGTGGCGCTGTTGCACCGCCCCCCAAGCACGGGTATTTTGACCCGCTCTCTCTGTTCCTCTCTCTTTCTCTCACTCTGTCTGCTTGGGTGGAGCAATCAAAAAAGCCTCACACTCGAAAAGAAAGCAAACACAACACGGACACAAACACACAGAACCTCATACAGAGTGCATAAAGTACACACACACACACTTAGACTTTCGAGGGAGCGAGCCAACCAAGTTTGAGTCAACATACCAAGTGGGGGCAGAGTGGCTTCCTTCTAGGACCGAAAACCTGACCAAATCCAACAAGAGTCACCCACAGCAGGAGAAACCAAGGGAAAAACGGACTTTACGCCACTAAAATCATCACGAGCTAACAGCGAGCGCCCCCTGGAACTCGGCACACGCACACCGGCAAACACCCAAGTCTGACCCCTTCCCGGTGTTTAACCGAGCCACTCTGAGCTTGATGTTGCCCGTGGCTGCAAGCTCTGAATCCTGTGGCCAAAAGGCTGGCAAGGACACAGGGTGACCGCCATGCGTATGTAAACCAAAGAGACAGGGCAGGAAGCATTTACGAAGGTCATACAAAACGGTGGACTTGCAAGCTCTCTGATGATGCGAAAGCTAGCTGAGACTCCCTCCATCCGTCCACCTCAAGTCTATCCAAAGAGTTGCATGACGCAAAGCTCAAGCACAGTTAAAGGCATGCAATGACAATCAGAACGGTCAAATGCTCTCTAGCGTTGCCTTTCATCATGGCAGCCAGTGGAGCAGTGATGCTGAGCCATTTGTATGAGTTGCTGTCTGAATCCCAGAGCAAATTCCACGGCATGTCGAACGATTGAGGCCGGCAAAACAACGCGTGTGTTTAGTTGTTTTTAGCCCGCATAACGAAAGTGGCTATGGCTTTCTGGAAAACGTGTCCTCTGAAAAAAACTCTGCAGTATTCCCGAGCCCTCCTCCTAAGGAAATTCAACCTGCAGGAAATTTGAGGCAGGGTTCCATTTTTAAGCAACTCCAAGGCAGACTCGAACGGTGCGGTGATCTGCCTAACAACGGGAACCAATTTCTGGGTAATCTGCCTGAAACCCGGAACCGAAACCAGACATTTTGACTGTCCCCCCCGGTTCGAAACCTCCGTGAGAAACTGCAAGATCTTCTGAAGCATCTGCACGCAAAGGTCAAAGGCCACTGAAGCAGCTTCTGTGCCGCCTGAGCTGGCTTTCGCACGCAGGCTTGCGTGTTTCGGTTCCAGAAATTGGCAAGCTTTCCGGCCTGGCGAGCCTTCAACAAAATGGGACCCCTTTTCGGGTTGGAGATTCTTTGGTGGGAACCCATGAGCCCACCAAACAAAATAGGGAAAGGCGCACGCTACGAGATGTGTGCTTGAATGAGCAAGCGACTGAACAATAACCTGCGCCCCCTTTCATCCTGTCAATGTCTTAGGGCCACTGAGATCGAATGCAAATTCAACATCACTAATGGCTCCCAACTTGGTGGTCACGTTTGGCGGGGGCGAACTAAAACAAGTTCAGCATGGTTGCTGCTGAACACTGATTTGACCCGGCTGCTACTTTTGGCAACTGGCGATGCTCACTGAATTAACATTGCCCAAGGCGAACTCGTCTTGGGGAAGGCCTTTCACTCTGAAAATGTCACAGTCTCAACCGTATTCAGGATGGGCATGCGCATATAAGATTTTAAAGGTGTGTGCTCCAAATCTAGATTCAGGCAATGGCTCCATTGGTTCGCCCCTGATTTTGTATAATATAGAACCGCTTCCCAGGTCAAGCGCTGGCAGACTCAGTAAGGCCAAACAGGGGCGTTCTGTCCAAGACCCCGCAGGAAATGACTTCGAGAACGCCAACATGGTCAAAGCTGTTCAGACTCATTGGCACATGACATGTCGTTTGCCAACCTTAGGATCCCCAGCCGTATATGCAGCGCTCCATGTCTGCCAAAGGGATGTACTGGAAGCCGAAGATCTCCACAGTGTTGTGGTAGGCGACAATGACACCATCCATGCGCCCGATCCTGGCCTGGAAACTGTACTTCATGAAAGCATTTCCTTGGTCATCTTCAAAGACTGGGCAGTGAACCCGAATGGAGGCACAAAGGCTGCCAAGGAAAAGCCAAGGGCGAATGGAAACGACAAAGGGAAGGAGCTTGGAACGGGTGACTGGGTGGAAGCGAACATGCCCAGTGCCAACATGCCTTTCCAGCAATCACAGCCAAGCATCGCATCATTTCATAGATTTCCAGTTCGAAGCTCTTTCCTCGACCCAGCATGTGCGTAATGCGATACTTCCGCTTGTCCTCATAGTTCCTTAGCTGCGGGCTGCGGTGTGCTCAAGCCAAGCTCCTCCAATTGCTTCATTCTGGCAACTAACAACATCACCATGCATATCCTGAGTTGACTTCTCCCTCTTGTTCGACTGCCCGCCCGGTCAAACAGTTACGACTATCCCATCAAAATGAAAAGCCGCCACATTTATATGCTGCATCGCTCTGGCTGGCTTTGTGCCCACATGACTACAACATCTCCATCCAGCAACTACAGCAACATTGTTCTGTAGCGAGAAATAGATGTTCTGCACGAACTCGCCTTACTGTATTCTCGATCAGCCCTCTTCTGTGCAAAGATTTGTGGTGCAAGTGGGTCGCAGGATTGCGCATGCAATCAATGTGAGTGGAGTGGAGTGGAGTGGAGTGGAGTGGAGTGGAGTGGAGTGGAGTGGAGTGGAGTGGAGTGGAGTGGAGTGGAGTGGAGTGGAGTGGAGTGGAGTGGAGTGGAGTGGAGTGGAGTGGAGAGTACAGTGCAGGGCAGGGGAGGGGAGGGGAGGGAGGCACGCATGGAGACAGAAATAGGCTTCCTTTGTGCATCGACCAGGGACCATCTGTCATGACTCAGGGCAAGTTTGATCCAAGTCTCATGACATCATGCCTCACGTCAAAGACGGCTCGAGTCTTCACATCCTCAGTTCGTCTCAGAATGAGGGTTGGGACACACCAAACGGTGTGGTTTCTGTTGGATTCCCCATTGAAACCACCCCAAGGGGAGTTCCCCCTCAAAGAAACATATGCATGGATTTAAGCAACGTAAAACTTGAGGTGCAAGTGCGTCCACTGCAACATGCAGTGGAAGCAAAAGACTGCGAGACTGCTGTTCCAATGCTGGACCTTGCCTTGAGAGCCAAACATGTCATGAGAGCCTGAGTGCTTGGCAATATGAAATTGTGCCCGCACTTTCGCGCAAACATGCGCAAAAAAGTCGCTGCAAGAATGCTCCTTCCGCTGAATGGTGTCTATGCTGCTTTCCACAACTCCACTTAGCAGGGGGGAAACGTGATGCTGCATGCTGCCGTGAGAAGTACGCGCTAAGGGCAGCAAATCCAACCAAGCCGTGGAGCGAAAATCTCTCCCCGGTGCACGGCATCCAGTTGTGAGCGCATCATGATGTCGCCTACTCTCAGGAAGCCTCAGTCAGCCCGTGCAGGTCACCGAAGGCCCGTGCTCACGGCATTGGGATGTTTTGCGGGTAAATTGGGGCCATCCTTCGGTGAGTCAAGTTTCTGCGCTTGTGGGGGCATGCCAGAGCATTGGCCATATAAGGGGGCACCCTTGCGAACGACAGACAGGCGCTGCCGTTCTGCTGCATCACCATTCTGTCGCCATTGGGCCACGGAAAGAAAAGCAACGAAAAACGTCTGTGCAACTCAAGGGGCCAAAATCACAAAAACAAAAAACAAAACAAGGGACCCAGCGTGACGTTTTCAGTTTGCGTGGGGCCAAGAGAAGGACTCTGACGTCCAGGCAACACCCATGGACCTTTCAAATCCTTTCTGTCACAAATCAGCCAACGCAACGCAGCCCCACGCGGCCTTGCCACGGATCAAGGTTACACGGCCTGTGGGTGGCTCCTGTTCAGCTTCTAAATGACCACATATTCAACCTGTCAAATCGACTTTTGGCAGCTTAGGAAGCTAGAAAATGAGCAAACCTCTGCTGAAACAGGCCAAAGCTCGGTACGCCAGGTCCTCCTTATGCAAGTCACCAGGGCTGGCAGGGCTAGAAGAGGAGCTGGTGTCGCTTTTCAAAAACCTTGCGTCGAACTCCTCCTTGGGACTTGTCAGCTGGTACTCCATGGTCCTTGGAGCATGAAGCCCTGAAAGGCATCTGTTGTCAAATGCATCACTGGCTTGAAGCGTTCAAATCCGCGAGCGCTTGAAACACCTGTGGGAGTGGCATGGGCCTAGATTGAACATATGGCAACTTTCTTCTCTAAGGTGCATAATGTCAGTTTCGCGGCAGGCCGTGCCTGCAAGCTTTTAGGCCCTCACGCAGCACGACGCCGTACAGCAACAAGGCGCAGCAACGGCAAGGCTGCTTATTGCAGTTGTTTGAGGATGCATGCTTTTGGGGGCACATCTGCCTCATTCACGTCAACGCCCTCCAAAAAAGCAATGCTCAAAGTTGAGACCTCACCTCCGACGTCTAATCAAGAGAAGCCGCTTGCCCAATTCCATGAGCACGTTGGCCTGGAAGGCTGCAAATCAGGACATGCTTGCAGTCTTATGCACGCAACCAGGGAGCTAGATGACTGGTCAGTTCTCAACACTTTCATATTGCCGTCGGCGTCCATTTCAACCCAGCACTAACTCCCTCGCTCTCTCTCTCTCTCACACACACATCCTCAACTGATGTAACGCCGGGCTGAACCAGCAGCAGCATTTGAAGTTGCATTTGACTCGTCAACGCAGGGCGCATGATAGGGCTTCCTGATTGGAATGTCAACACGGCCACCTGCCCCGCGGGCATGCTTGTGTACATGCCACTGGTAAGGTCTTCATTTGGATTCTTGTGGATTTGCGTACGGCAGCGGAGGCAGCATGAGCATTTTGCCAAAGATGCACCCCAAATTCGCTTGGTACTTCCAACTTGTTCAACCACTTACTTGGACAAGCAGTCCAGCATGAACGCATGGCTCTATGCTCACACGGATTCCACAGTAAGCAATAGTGCTGGCTGACGCGTTCGCGTTGGTGCTCCCAACTCTGTTCAGCATGGTCAGCCACTGAAAGCCCCGGTCGGGCCAGTCAATTGGTGTCTGCAAATGAGGCCAAACACAGAACAGTGTAAAACACATTTGGGCCTCCATCCCCTGGCACTGATCCGAACAACTAAACGCAACAAAGCTGTGATAGCAGCCAACAGCCTGCGGTTCCTTGAAACAAACCGCCTGAGTCTCCCGACGTCGCTGTCATCATCTGATGCGTTTGTCAGCGACCAGGCGTCCCCAGCGTTGTTCCGGCGCACATAGGACACCTGGGGGCGGAACTCGCTGCAACAGTAGCTTTGCTCCATGCAGCCCAAGGAGGTCATATGTGCCATGAGCATCATTTTCGACATTGGATGCATAGCGGCAATTTCAAGCTCACGCAACAAACAGCAACCCTGCTACAATAAGCCGCTTCGAGGCCAGATTTCGGGATAATTACACCAATCTGTATTGCACCAGACCCACGAGTACATGATGGTACATCCAACTGGTTTCCAAATCAAATATACAAACACATCCCCACATTCTGATCCCCCTCACCCATCACTCTCGTGCGCGGCCATCCGCACATTGCATCAGCAGGTCAACACATGGTATTGCTCTGAGTACCCGTGGCCAGCTCAAGTCAAACATTTGCCAGAACTGGGCTCTGCATGTGGCTCCATCTCAACAAAGACTATGGCTATGCTTCTAGGACAAGGCGTGCAAAAACCTCTAGAAATAGAATACAAATCCAAACATCACTTTCTTTTGGAGGGCGTCCTTCCAAATAGCTGGTAAGCATGTTGTTGTTTACTGCCGGACACATGTTTTGCCTTGCACTTAGATGCATTTACCTGGAGCGGGCGTCTGTGCACAAAGCTTCTCGGCAGGGGGCTGTTGCCCACCGCGTGCTGGGGCTGAAGGTTGGCGGCCTGGTTGGCATGACCAATAGGTGCAGCACAAAGTGCAAAGCCTCACTGTTAGACATGACGCTCCCCGGGAATTGAAACCGATGTCTGGATTGCCATGCCCAGGGATATGTGGTATTCACGTGCCTGTCTTTGAAGATGGTGCTGAGGCCGTCCAAATCAAACCCGCGGTGTTGCGAGATGGTGAAGTAGCACCGCGATAGGATACCTGGCGACACTACTCCAACCGAGTCCTTCAATGCGGTTTCACCCTCTACCTCTGCCATGCACTGCTACCTCAATCGGAGCTGAGGGCTACCCTGAATAACATCAGCAGCAAGCAAATAAGCAACTTAGCTTGAGTGGAGCTGCCAGGGCAGCTATGCCTGTGGACCTTTCGGACGCGCAACCCCTGGGATTGGCGAGATGCAGGTTTCGAAACAGAACATGTGACCATGTGACAGTAAAAATGGAAAGGGTTCTGTGCATGCCCTCAAATGCTGACTTCGCTGCCCAAGGTCTCCCACCTGTCAGCGAGGAGGTGCTTGAGAAGAATTTGCAGCCCTCTCTTCTTGCCTTATCTCCCAGGCGCTCAGCAACCCTCACCTTGCCGCACCTTGCTGACCCCTTCAGAATCGAGCTGCCCAACCTGATAGCACCCTGCGCATCTCGTGTGCCGCTTCTGCCTTTGATGTCCCAAGGGTCGTCCAAATGAAGTCATGCCGGATGGTTAATACAAGCAAGTCTTACTATGAATAGCGTCATGCTTTTCAGGGACAACTCCGCAGATCAACGAGTCCTGTCCCCGTGTATGATTGCACAGCAAGGTGCTGCCTTCGGACCCACTTGATACTGCGCCATGCCACTGCGATACGACATGTGCACCAGCGTTGTCCGACCGGACCCACAAGCACAAACAAATCGAAGAAGCCAAAGTAGAACATCCCTACTCCATCCAGGCGAAGAAAGCCTGAGGCTTGACAGCCAAACAAAATAACTGCGCGCACACACACATTGCTCCCTCAAAGAAACCCAAAGCGAGATGCTACAGCTGCACAAACAAACTTGCAGTGCCTGCCCCAACCACTGGCTAAGCCTAGGTTGAATACTCAAACAAAGCGGGAGCGTGCCGTGAAAGATACCAACCTTGCACCATGATTTCTGCGCTTCACCCTGGCCACGCCATCCTCTAACCCGGAAAAGGAAGCCTTTTCCGGGTTTGACCGTGTGTGGGCAACCCGCCAAAGGTTTAAACGATTGGGACAAATCACTCGGCAAAGTACCAAGAGTCCACTCCACCCATGTCCGTTCCCCTCCGGCCCGATTCCGCCCGTGCCAAGGCTCCAGCTCCTGCAGGCGTTGGTCTTGGAACGCAGGCACGAAGGGGGGCAGAGCGCTCCAGTCCACCTCCTCACAAGTGAGCCCGGAAACAAGTGCCGGGCGGCCGAAGGCAAATGTGCATCCGTTCCGGTGACCAACCAGCCTCATGCCTTGCGTGAAAAACTCTTGCATTTTTTTTTTGGGGGGGGACCCTGGCAATACATCACATCAGGCGGCTCTAGCTAAGTTTGGAAAAGACATTGTATGCCTACATGCCTGGCCTGAATCAATGCTCATTGAAGAATGGGCATCTTGTACCATCTGACCTTCGAGCTGCCCTCATTTCAGAAGCAACTGCAGCACGCCCATGCACAACAGAAGTTTAAGCTTACTTTCCTGCCATTGTTCAGGGGCAAAGATTTTACAAGGAGAACCAATGCATATTACCCCTTGCCATGCCTGGACGTCTGGCACCACAGCAGAGGGAAATTGAGTCGCGGCATCGGCAAACCTCGAAGCTCCTCCGGCTGCGCAATGATCCGCAGGTCGCGGCGCTGCTTCTTGGGAAGACTCGCCAAAGGCACCACCCTGGCGATTTCACGAGGCGCGGCTGGGCCACCGGATAGCGCGCGTTCCAAGTTCCAGCTGATGTAGAAACAAGAGTTGCTTCTACGCAGGCCACCTCTCTAACAACTGCTTTCTTGCCTGCTTGCTGCCTGCCTGATAGCCACTAGCTTCTTTGTCTGTCTGCCTGTTCGCCTGGTCGGCCCGTCGAACCACAACTGGAGGTGTTTGAGCTTGGAGCGCCGAAGCTTGTCTTGACGTTGTGGAGTGACGCTTCTGCACTCGCCGATTTTATGGACAAGGCTGCATTCACGAGCGCCAGGGAAAACCTTTGGCCAACCATGGGAAATATGAGACTTCATCCTAGGCCCCAGGTGGTGTTTCATAATGCAACCTGATCACTGCAGTGCAGTGGCTGTCAATTGGGACCAACGGCGGAAGTGCTTGCTTCGGTTTAAATCTTCTTGCCTCTCGCGCACGCCCTGTCTAGCCTGGACTATTTTGGGGCTGCCAAATTGGCCGGCTCGCCTTTGCAACAAAGCCCCCGATCCGCGCAGCGCCCAGCTTCAGTTTGCGGACCAAAAACCGCAACACCGTGACACCCGGAGCGCCGCGCCTGCCACGCAGCTCCACAACGCTCTCCAGGCCGTGAGCCAGCCTCAAGCACCCTGGATATGCCCCCGTGTGCCAACAATCCCCGTGGGTGTGGGATAGCCTGGCATTGTGATCTTCCGCATCAACTTCTGAGAATGCAAGTGGTGGTCTTGCGCATTCTGCAGGTGAACTGTCAGCACCCCCTGTGTGGTTGACATGACTGACCTCCAGTGCCACACTGCCCCTTGGGGCGATTAAGGCTAGACAAAGGAAGCTGAGACTTTGGGCCCTGGTACATGTCTATGCGGCAAAATCTCTTTCATAGGGACAATCCCAGTATGTAGCACAATCTGTGGAACCCAAACTGGCTGGTTCTATCATGAGCCAAACGGAGATTCTCCCCCAAAAAGGGCGCACCCACACCCTCAACCCGTACCCACACTCTGAGAGCCGGCGTCGCCACAAAGCTGCCGTCCGGATTCGGGCAGTCCTGCAAGCAACAGAAATCGTGTCAACCATTGTTAAACCATTGTCAGCACGTTTTTTCCACGGGACTATGATCCCGTTCACAAGATTGTTTGGCATAAAAAAGGCAATAGTCAATGCTGCCAGGGTAGCAGGCACATGTTGACAAAGCCCGGAGTTTGACAATGGCCGCGCACGCAGCACAGCTGATCGTAAACATGTCTTTCAAGAAGCAAGCCGCGGGAATCGGGATGCTTGCAAGTGCGGAAAGCGAGCTGTGGACCTGCCAGCCCAACACCTGAAACACCCTCCCCCTAAAGCCATGGATGGACACCTACCTATTGGCAGGGCCCCCCCCCCTTGTTGTACACTTTCCGCCTCGAAACGTGGTCTAGGCAAAGTGGCCCGAAGCACGTGGAACGAAAGGCCTGTACATTTCCGGTTGGGGGATCAGCACCCTCGCATCTTGTTCTACATGACAGACACTGAGACAGCTATTGCAAGATACGTGGACATATGACAGAAACCTAATTTGTCCTCCAAGGGAACCAGGCCCACTGACTTACGTAAGGTTTCGCCGCAAAATCGAGCCTCCAAAAAACCTTTGGAAAGATATCCTTTGGGCTCCAGGTGTGGCTCTTAGCTTCAACAAACACTAATGAGTTGCCTCAAATAGAGAACGCGTAAAAAGGCCCACATTGCCTTCTTCGACCTGTGAATTGCTGCAACCACTATAGATGGTAACCCGTTAGCACTCCAAGGGCGAGCGCATGGCACACAGCCTTGCGACCACTTCCTCCATGGCCAGCGGCTCAGGACCCACCTTCCACTGCCATGACCTGCCGTCGCTTCAGCTATGCCAAACGAAATTCCGAGCTCTGCTTGACCAACTGGTTCAATAGAGGTGAGGGGTGCAGGCTGATGTTCAGCCTTGACCACCAATGACAGCACGTAAATGGAAGATCTGCGTAATACTACAAGTATAAAGTGTGGCTTTGGACCAGCCAGCTGATGCTCGAATGGAAGCCCAAAAGCTGAGAAGCCCGAAGAACCGATCAGGTGACCAGCTGCACGGGAGCCAATCCTCCTACAAATTCCTTTGGCCACGTCGCATGAAAGCAACGGGTCCCTTGGTGATCTTGGTTCCTTCCAAGGGCTGACGGTAATGGGTTTGCCACTTCAAATCTCCCCTTCCTACCGCCACCTTTGAACATCAGCACTCAAATGATGTCAAACGCAAGCCTTTTTCTGACCTCCAAAATAGAAGAGCGGAAGCTTACAGCCTCCTGCGGCCTCCCAAGCATGCAAGAAATCAAAAGCACAGTTGCCGTCCAAACCAGGGACAAGTTCTCTTAGGGAGCTGCCCGTGCCTGCCGGGCTGCCTCTGGAGCACAGTCTCCAGCACCCCATTCCGATCCAACCACTTGCCGGAATCCTGCGAATCGTGGGTTCAGGCAACAATAAAGGTTCATGTAGGGGACAAACCACGCGCTCACCAAATACCCTGGTAATTACCCTGCTGGGAATATAGCTATATATCCTTCATGTGCTTGAGCTTTTGTGGGCATGTTGCATGCCCTGGCATTCTTGGTCAGCTGAGAACAACTGGGTGGAGATGAGATCATCTCACACGCCCTGATGTCTACTTCAAGCAACAGAAGAAGGCCTTGGTAAGCACCATCGAGGGAAGTAACTTGATAGGGAAGACTGGTCTGGACATTGGAACCAGGAACCTTGATTGTTCGTGGGTCGAATTTGATGGGTCGACCTGTTTCACCAGCTCAGACGTGTCAGCAACAAGTCCCTTCGAGTCTCCTTGAGCCCCACCGTGGCTTCCGGCATCGCCGTGGCCGCATCCCGGAGGGCTTTGTCCAAGTCGGTCTCCCAAAGAAAGCCCCGGCCCTGCGAAGACCCGACCGAATGCTACTCTCCAAATGCCCATTGCCACGTGGTTTACTAAATGCCACGGGCCCAGCACGAATGTGTAAAGGACACGTGTTTGTCAGGGATCCAAAGGTACCTGTCCGAGGGTAGTAAAACTAATGACCTCTGCAGTAGGGTTCTGTATTTAAAGATTTGATTGATCAACTCATATGCTACAAACAACAGATCATATATTGCCCACTAGCAGTAACCAACCTGACAAATACGAATTCCTCCAAGAAAGGCTCATCATGGGCGACCTTTTGAAGAGCCTGCAAACAATTCAGACAATAGTTCTGTGCGAGTTCCTGCGGTGGTCCAAGCAGGGTAACACAGAAAAGGGCCGACAATGACCGCCCTGAAATAAGACTTGGCATTTTCACTTCTGCTGCGTGGAAGTGATTGTCACATTGGCACATAGCCGCCATTTGCTACATCCTCAAAGTGAAAGCTTGAACCCTGAACATGCCCTGCCCGCCACTCTGTTTTTTTGCTACACTGCCTATTGAAATAAGCATGAGAAAGTGAGCATGATCACCAACCCACTGCTCTGATCCTGGAAGCTATGGATGTCGTGATTGCACTGTACATCCTAGTTCTGCTTGAACTAGAAGAGCTCTTGAAGCTGCTTGGCTAATCAAGTCAAACTGTCCTGCAACCAGGGGTTGCCTTGTTGCATTCAAGCAGAGCGTGGTACGGTCGCTGCAGCCGCCTGCAGCCAACGCAGCAACAAGACACACACACACACACACACGTTTCACCCAAGTTCACGCAGTTGCAATTTGAGAAGCAATGCGTTCATATACAGAGGTATATGTAGACAAACAAATGCAACATTAGATGTAGATCTATGTGCGTCACCGGGAGTGTTGGGCAAATGAGCCATTGGACGCCTAGGCATGGGCTGTCTGCACCTGTCACAAACAGAACCAGAGAGCACGAGCCAACAAGAAACATTGGGCCGAGCTGTTTGTCTGAGACATCGCGTCCAAATGACGGCTGCAGCCATCGAGTCAGCTGCAGGCCTCTACGCTACCAGCGGCCACTGCAGCTTTCATCTCTGCTTCTTCCAGATCTTCATCCACGTCCTCCTCATCCTGAGGCTGACAGTGGACACCGTGCCCGTGCACCTTGCACCTTGCACCGTGAGGGTCTGATCCGAGATTTAATAAGATCAGCTAATTATATGAAATGCGGATTGTATGCTTCCTTCCTCATAGAATCAATCCACATGGGTTCAACCTTTGCCCCAATATCATTATCTACACGGGACAGCACCGGAAGGCGTCTGCGAGCTGAGCGCAGGGGTTTGCAAGTCCCAACCCCGCAGGAAACGTTATGGAAGGCAAGTCGCCAGCTCCTCTTCCAGCTTGTCAAGCTCCGGCTCGGTCTCCTCTCACCCCAGGGCCAGAAGCCCGGCTGCCATCGAGTCAAAAGAAGGGTGGATGAGTGCAATCGGACCCAGGTCCTCATCCTCCATGTCATCTTCGTCACCTGGCACGAAATTAGTAGACCCAAGGGAACCCTTTTTCGGCTTGAGGTACTTCGGGAGGAACCCACAAAACATAAAGGGCAAAAGGATGCACTGAACCAGTTGAATCACTGAGGCATTGAACCAAACAAGGAGAACTGGCCATTCGCTCCAACTCAAAGTGCCTGCGTTGGCCTCGCTGGCTTCGGCCTCTTTGACCTTTCTGGCTTTGGCCAGGTTTCTTTCCATCCTCGCCTTTGCCTCCTGAGCACGCACAATCACGCACACACACACACACACCACCTGTGCCTCATTGGGAACGGGCTGAGCAATTGGACCCCCTCCTGCAAAAGTGTATTCTGGCCAAGTTGCCTTCTGCGATCTCACCGCTTTGCGCATGGCGAAAAGGCCTGGGAGGTTGAAGGTCGCAAGGGCAGTTTGATATTTGATCGTGCCATCATTTCAGAAGGCAAATCCATCACGGAAGGTTGTTGGAATACAAAGCATCACTGGCCGCACCGTCATCCTTACTCAGCTACATTGTAAGACTCTTTTCAATGGTCAACGGTAGCTCCCTGGCCCAACATACCACGTGCACTTTGCAACCCGCCCTTTTCAGCAGCAGGTGCCGGTTTCAGTAGCAGATGCGGCAATTGCTGTTGCAGCATAGTTGTTGGCCATCCCCAAGTGCAAGGAGACCTACGTTGACATGCAACCAAAAAGCTGATGGTTGAGGGGTCCTGCATGCGCTGCTAACATCTGCTAACAACCTGCATGAAATTAGACGACCCACTTCAGCACGACCCAATGGCCTCAACTTGCTGTCGGGCTTGCCTTCGGTCGGGCATTGTTGCTCGCACGTCCAAGTCATGTTTTCGACGTACTCCTCCAGTAGACCTACAGCCGAGGAACGGGTTGCCACTGGCCACAGTGGGAACGATGCGGGCGTGTCCATGGACTGGACATCAGCCTGCCAAGTGTGCAGTGCATGTCAAAGCGGGCATGGTCAATAAGCTTGGAAGCAGCTCAATTTGGACAGCTTGCGCAACAAGCAGCCAGCACATGACATTGCGTTCTCCAATTTCCTAGGGTGCCGTCCATTGGCTTGTGCATGCCTCTCTTGTCGCCCGTCGTGCAGTGGGAGCTGTCAGGCGTACTGGCGCCTCAGGAGCAGGGCACTTTCTCAAGTAGATTTTGCAGCCATGGGCCATACCCAAGCTGCAAGCCTGAAGCACTATCGATAAAATGAAGAAAGGCGTTGCCTTGCAAAGGGGGCTTGCCAAACACGCTCTTGTCCACTGTGGCCTGCTGACCTGGAGCAAGCACGTGCACTCCCATGGCACGCCGGCGAGGATTAAGAAACCAAATGCCGCTCCCTGTCACTAAGCCGCAGGCGACGCTGCGTCTGCCTGCTGCATGCTGCAACATGCTCAGCGCCATGAGCAAACAAATGGCTTTAAGATTGCGGCAACCTGACTCCAGCTTGTCTGAGCTCCGCAAAAGCGGTCGCCAAGCAATCTCATGCGAAACAAGCTTTTCTCCATAAGTTAAAATTGGTGGCAGTAGGGCAGGTGGGCAGTGCCAGGGATGCCTTGCCACACTTTGGCCTGCGATGAGGCTTTCTCAGAATGTGTGCCACTCAGCCCTCCCAATATCGTATCTGAATAAATAAGCTTGCCCGCCGTCTGTAGAACGCCATTATCTATGTTTCTTGCTCTTCTGTTGCCCGCGGATAGTCTCCTTTAGCCCGGCAAAAGCCGAGTACGGTGGCAGGCAACTTTGGCCCGCACGGCTTGAGCCACGACGATGGCACTTGCTTTCCTCGAGGTGTCAGGTGCTTGACTTTGGGCCCATCAGCCAAATGCTCACACCCCACTTTGAAGAAAGTCCTCGTGTTGTTTCGTGATTCGAAACTGCGGAGGGTGACACGGTGAGAGTTTGTCTGAGCCATGATTTTGAGAGCGGTGCTTCGCTGCCTTGCAGGAGCAGAAGGATCGGGCTTCTTAAAGCCAGCTTTGCTGGAAATCGTGCCGACGAGTTGCTTGTCAGCTCGCATAAACTCGACTGATCTGGAAGAGTGCCCCGAAAATTGTGTGTCCTATCACGATCAGGGCGCCAAGCGTGCCGTCGGCTTCTACTAGGGGTTCAACAGCATCAACGCAAACGCCGTGTGGTGCGCACACGCCCACACAAGAGCAATGAGCAAACGACACGTTATTATATCTGCTCCTTATGAATTGTACGAACAAAGAAGGGCCTGTGACATACAAATGTTCATCCATTTGCCGAGGCGCCAGCACGCCATGTGTCCCTATTTATTCAAGCCTAGCGAAGTCTGTTGTCGCAAGTGTCACGCTGTCATGCTGGGCAAAGCCAAAGTCTGTGATGAATGATAAAGTGAAGCATTGTTGAGCGCCCCTACTCTCGCCACTGAGGCTTCAAAGTAGACGTGTGGAAGGTTACCAAAAACTCGCCCCATTTCGGGTAAAGCCCAATCTGAGAAACACTTTGTCAGTCCCCCTGCAAGCGATGGGCAAAAGTGATCTATGAGATACGGCCATGCGACCTAGGCTTTGCTCAGATCAGCGGCGATTCAACCCGCAGGCCCTGCAAGGTCGGGGCGCCCCAAGGTGTGCAGGGGCGTGGGAAGGCGGCCTTTCCAAGCCTTGGCCAAATATGACCAGCAAAAAACCGCAGCGGCACTGCACATGCCGTTCAACCGTGCACCGTTCAGAGTGGTGTCATTGAGTCAAGACCAGATCCCACTTACACACTACGCAGGCCTCCTCTGAGCGAAACTGCCATTGCGGCCAGGGCTCCTCTTGTCCGCGCAGGGCCCCAATGAAGGTCGCTGCAGTGGAGCGGTGAGTCTTGTCAATTGGCTGCCTGCAAGGATCTGCTTGCACCTTTACCTGTCCTCCAACCTGCGCGAAAAAAGTTGTCCGCCATAAGGGTCCTGTCAGCCAGCTCCTGTTTTGTTGAAAAGGCGAATACGCAAACACTCCTTGCACGGAATTCCCTGGCCGCGTGTCACATTCTCCACTTCATTCAACAACACAAGACACCATTCTTTTACAGGCCGACGGTACTATCGCACATAATCTGGCAATAATTCATCACCGGCTGACAGCTAATCACAACAGGCTAGGCAAGTGTGGGCCCCAAGAACGCAACAGCTCCGTACACTCTCACCCTCTGTCCGTTTGGGCCAGCCAGCCACAGCCGGCAGCCGCTTGTTGCCGGCCATGCCCCGGCCTATTGCCCAGGCGGCTGCAAAGGCTGAAAGAGGGGTTCTGGCACCTGCAAAATGGCAAGGCAAACTGGTCCAACGTAGAAGAAAGCTCAAGGAAACATGTCCATTACTCAGCCACTTCCTGGACAACACTTGATTTTGTGGCGCCGTCTCCTTACCTTCGTGCCATGCATTGAATACTGATCCTTGGTTTTCAATGCTACCATCACGACTCGCACACGCACAAACCAACCAACCAACCAACCAACCAACCAACCAACCAACCCACCCACCCACCCACCCACCCACCCACCCACCCACCCACCCATCCAACAACAACCCAACCAAGTAACCAAACAATGAAGCAAAACAAGCGAACGAAACTACAAACACACCACAACACACCGAAGCAACAGAGCAA